GATTGCAAAAATATCTGAGTAAAATTGGATTAAAATTTGAACAAAATCTGAATAAAATCTGAACAAAATGTGAATAAAACTTGAATAATATTTAAATAAAATTTGAACAAAATCTGAACAAAATGTGAATATAATTTGAATATAATTTGAATTTGGGGGTCTCGGGTGGGGTTTTGGGCGTTCTGGGGGGGATTTGGGGGTCCTGGGGCGGATTTTGGGGGTCCTGGGGGGTTCAAGGGAGGATTTGGGGGTCCTGGGGTGTTTAAGGGGCGATTTTGGGGGTCCCGGGGGGAGATTTTGGTGTCCTGAGGAGGATTTTGGGGGTCCTGGACTGACCCTGGGCATATTTTGGGGGTCCCGAGAAGGATTTTGGGGGTCCCGGAGTGAATTTGAGGGTCCTGGGGTGAATTTGAGGGGGATTTGGGGGGTCCCGGGGGGGATTTTGGGGGTTCCTCTCCCCCCTCACCTGTGGTCGGTGTCGCCGCTGCCGCTGCCAGGAGGAGCAGGAGGATCCCGGTGGTCCCGGTGGTCTCGGAGCTGCTCCCGGTGGTCCCGGAGCTGCTCCCGGTGGTCCCAAATCCCCTCCCGGTGGTCCCGGGTCCCCTCCCGGTGGTCCCGGGTCCCATCCCGGCCGTTCCCGGTTCTTTTCCGCCGGTGCCGGGCTCTGCTTTCGGTCCCGTCCCGCTTTTCCAGCCGCGCTCCGGGAGCGGGGCCGGGGCTTGGAGCGATCCGGGAGCTCCCGACCGATCCCGGTGCCGATCCCGGTGTTTTTCCCGGTTCCGGTGCCGGTCCCGGTCGCTCCCGGTGCTAATCCCGGTGTTTATCCCGGTTTTTATCTCGGTCCTGGTCGCTCCCGGTGCCGATCCCGGTGCTAATCCCGGTTTTTATCCCGCTCCCGGTGCTGATCCCGATCCGGTACTCCCGGTCCCGGTCGCTCCCGGTGCTGATTCTGATCCCGGTCCCGGTTCCGGTTCTAATCCCGGTCCCGATCGCTCCCAGTCCCGGTTCTGATCCCGGTGCTAATCCCGGTCCCGATCGCTCCCAGTCCCGGTTCTGATCCCGGTGCTGATCCCGGTCCCGGTCGCTCCTGTTCCCGATCCCGGTGCCGGTTCCGATCGCTCCCGGTGCCGGTGCCGGTCCCGTTTCTGATCCCGGTTCTGGCCCCGGTTCTGGCCCCGGTTCTGGCCCCGGTGTCCCCGTGGCCGCGGGTCCCGCCGGGCCCCATTTAACGGGCGGGGGGCGGAGCTCGGGGCGTTCAAACAGGGCGAGGGAGGGGCGGGAAAAGCGGGAATGGGGGCGGGAAAAGGGGCGGGAAAAGCGGGAAAAGCGGGGGGGAAATCCGGGAAAAACGGGGGAAAACCGGGAGGGGAAAACGGGAGGGAAATCCGGGATAAAGGGAGGAAAAGCGGGAGGGAAAACGGAGGAAAACCGGGAATGAGGGAAAGGAAACCGGGAATGAGGGCGGGAAAACCGGGAGGGGAAACCGGGATAAAGGGAGGAAAAGCGGGAGGGAAAACCGGGAATGAGGGAAAGGAAACCGGGAAGGAAATGCGGGATAAAGGGAGAAAAAGGGAGAGGGGAAAAACCGGGAATGAGGGAAAGGAAAACCGGGAGGGAAATGCGGGAAAAACGGAGGAAAACCGGGAGGGAAATGCGGGATAAAGGGAGGAAAAGGGAGAGGGGAAAAACCGGGAATGAGGGAAAGGAAAATCGGGAATGAGGGAGGGAAAAACCGGGAGAGAAAACCGGAAAAAAACGGAGGAAAAGCGGGAGGGAAAACCCGGGATAAAGGGAGGAAAACCGGGAGGGAAATCCGGGAATGAGAGAAAGGAAAACCGGGAATGAGGAAGGAAAAACCGGGAGGGAAATCCGGAAAAAAAACGGAGGAAAAGCGGGAGGGAAAACCCGGGATAAAGGGAGGAAAACCGGGAGGGAAATCCGGGAATGAGAGAAAGGAAAACCGGGAATGAGGAAGGAAAAACCGGGAGGGAAATCCGGAAAAAAAACGGAGGAAAAGCGGGAGGGAAAACCCGGGATAAAGGGAGGAAAACCGGGAGGGAAATCCGGGAATGAGAGAAAGGAAAACCGGGAATGAGGAAGGAAAAACCGGGAGGGAAATCCGGAAAAAAAACGGAGGAAAAGCGGGAGGGAAATGGAAAAGCGGGAATGGGGGCGGGAAAAGGGGCGGAAAAAGCGGGAATGGGGGCGGGAAAAGGGGCGGGAAAAGCGGGAAAAGCGGGGGGGAAATCCGGGAAAAACGGGGGAAAACCGGGAGGGGAAAACGGGAGGGAAATCCGGGATAAAGGGAGGGAAACCGGGAGGGGAAACCGGGAATGAGGGCGGGAAAACCGGGAGGGAAATGCGGGATAAAGGGAGGGAAACCGGGAGGGGAAAAACCGGGAATGAGGGAAAGGAAACCGGGAGGGAAATCCGGGATAAAGGGAGAAAAAGGGAGAGGGGGAAAACCGGGAATGAGGGAAAGGAAAACCGGGAATGAGGGAGGGAAAACCGGGAGGGAAATGCGGAAAAAAACCGGGAAGGAAAACCCGGGATAAAGGGAGGAAAACCGGGAATGAGGGAGGGGAAACCGGGAGGGGAAGCCAGGAATGAGGGGCGGGAAAATTCGGAGAGGAAACCGGGATAAAGGGAGGAAATCCGGGAGGGAAAAACCGGGATAATTGGAGGAAATCCGGGATAAAGGGAGGGAAAAGGAGGAAAGGGGGCTCCATTTTCCATTCCCAGGGAGCCCCAAAATCCCCAAAATCGCCCCAAAAACTCATCTGGAACTCCAAATTCCACCCCAGGGATCCCCAAATCATCCCCAAAAACTCCTCAGGAACCCCAAAAATCCCCAGAGTCACCCCAAAAACGCCCCTGAGACTCTTCCGGAACCCAAATTTCCCCCCTCAGGGAGCCCCAAAATCACCCCAGGAACGCAAATTTCCTCCCCGGGGTCACCCCAAAGCCTCAGGGAGCCCCAAAAACTCCTCAGAAAGTACCCAGGATGGATTTAGGATGATCCAGGATGGATTTAGGACCCCCCAGGATGGATTTGGGATGATCCAGATGGGTTTAAAATGATCCAGGTGGGTTTAGGACCACCCAGGATGGATTTAGGATGATCCAGAAGGATTTAAGATGATCCAGGAGGGTTTAGGACCACCCAGGATGGATTTAGGATGATCCAAGATGGGTTGAAGCTTATCCAGGATGGGTTTAGGATGATCCAGGATGGATTTGGGGTGATCCAGGATGGATTTAGGATGATCCAGATGGGTTTAAGCTTATCCAGGTTGGATTTAGGATGATCCAGGATGGATTTAGGATCACCCAGGATGGATTTAAGGTGATCCAGGATGGATTTAAGTTGATCCAGGATGGATTTAGGATGATCCAGGAGGGTTTAGGATAACCCAGGATGGATTTGGGATGATCCAAGAGGATTTAAGATGATCCAGAAGGATTTAGGACGATCCAGGATGGATTTGGGATGATCCAGGAGGGTTTAGGATAACCCAGGATGGATTTAGGACCAACCTAGGATGGATTTAGGATGATCCAAGAAGGTTTAAGATGATCCAGGATGGATTTAGAACCACCCAGGATGGATTTGGGATGATCCAAGAGGATTTAGAACCAACCCAAGATGGATTTAAGGAGATCCAAGGGGGTTTAAGATGATCCAAGAGGATTTAGAACCACCCAGGATGGATTTAAGGAGATCCAGAAGGATTTGGGATGATCCAGAAGGGTTTAGGACCACCCAGGATGGATTTGGGATGACTCAGGATGGTCTGGACCCTCCAAATTTGGGACAATCTGGATCTGGGACAACCTGGGACCACCTGGGCCAACCCGGGCCAAACCCAGAATGGATTTAGGATGATCCAGGATGGATTTAGGACCACCCAGAATGGTCTGGATCGCTCTGGACCCTCCAAATTTGGGACAATCTGGATCAGGGACAACCTGGGACCCTCTGAAATAACCCAGGACAAACCCAGTTGGACCCTCCAGGCCAATCCAGGCCCCCCTGGGCTAATCCAGGATGGATTTAGGACGATCCAGGATGGATTTAGGACCACCCAGGATGGATTTAGGGTGATCCAAGAGGATTTAGGATGATCCAGGATGGGTTTAGGACCAACCCAGGATGGATTTAGGATGATCCAGGAGGGTTTAAGATGATCCAGGAGGGTTTAAAATGATCCAGGTGGGTTTAAGCTTATCCAGGATGGATTTAAGGTGATCCAAGAAGGTTTAGGACCACCCAGGATGGATTTAGGACCACCCAGGATGGATTTAGGACCCTCCAAATTTGGGACAATCTGGACCTGGGACAACCTGGGACCACCTGGAACAACCCGGGCCAAACCCAGAATGGAGTTAGGATGATCCACGATGGATTTAGGACGATCCAGGATGGATTTAGGACCCTCCAAATTTGGGACAATCTGGACCTGAGACAACCTGGGACCACCTGGGCCAACCCGGGCCAAGCCCAGGATGGAGTTAGGATGATCCACGATGGATTTAGGACGATCCAGGATGGATTTAGGACTATCCAGGATGGTCTGGACCCTCCAAATTTGGGACAATCTGGATCTGGGACAACCTGGGACCGGGGTTTGGGATTTGGGGGATTCAGGATTTGGGGTTTGGGATTTGGGGGATTCAGGATTTGGGGGTCGGGATTTGGGGGATTCAGGATTTGGGGTTTGGGATTTGGGGTTTGGGATTTGGGGGATTCAGGATTTGGGGTTTGGGATTTGGGGGATTCAGGATTTGGGGGTCAGGATTTGGGGTTTGGGATTTGGAGGATTCAGGATTTGGGGTTTGGGATTTGGGGTTCAGGATTTTGGGGTTCAGGACTTGGGGTTCGGGATTTGGGGGGTCAGGATTTGGGGGATTCAGGATTTGGGGATTCAGGATGGGATTTGGGGGTCAGGATTTGGGGGTCAGGAATTGGGGTCAGGATTTGGGGGATCAGGATTTGGGGGTCAGGACGGGATCTGGGGGGTCCCCGGGCTCCCCCGCCCCCTCACCTCCTCCTGCTCGTCCTCGCTCTCGTCGTCGCTCAGGAGGGGCTTGGGGCGCCCCCCGCGCCCCCCCCGGCGCCGCCCCTTCCCGCGTTCCGGAACCTTCTCCTTGCGGCCCAGGCGGATCTTCACCTTCACCGAGCGGGCTGGGGACGCCGAGCTCGGGGTCAGCCTCTGACCCCATCCCAGTGATCCCATCCTGATCCCATCCCAGTGACCCCGAGCTCGGGGTCAGCCTCTGACCCCATCCTGATCCCATCCCATGGATCCCATCCCATGGATCCCATTGATCCCATCCCAGGGACCCCGAGCTCCGGGTCAGCCTCTGACCCCATCCTGATCCTATCCTGATCCCATCCTGATCCCATCCCAGTGACCCCATTGATCCCATCCCAGTGACCCCAAGCTCCCGGTCAGCCTCTGACCCCATCCTGATCCTATCCCATGGATCCCATCCCAATCCCATCCCAGATCCCATCCCATGGATCCCATCGATCCCATCCCATTGATCCCATTAATCCCATCCCATGGATTCCATCCAATCCCATTAACCCCATTCCACTCAATCCCATCCCATCAATCCCATCAATCCAATCGATCCCATCCCATCCCATCGATCCCATCCCATCAATCCCATTAATCCCATCCCATGGATCCCATCCAATCCCATTAATCCAATTCCACCCAATCCCATCCCATCAATCCCATTAATCCCATCCCATGGATCCCACCCAATCCCATCCCATCGATCCCATCGATCCCATCCCATCGATCCCATCGATCCCATCCCATCGATCCCATCAATCCCATCGATCCCACCCCACGGATCCCACCCCACGGATCCCAGGGACCGCAGCCCCTGGCCCACCCTCGGACTCGGATCCTTCCTCCTCTCCCTCCTCCTCCTCCTCGCTCTCCTCGCCGTCGCTCTCCTCCTCCTTCTCCACCTTCTGCCGCACGCTGGTGAACACCGACTGCAGCACGATGGAGTCCTCGTAGATCTGCGGGGGCAGTCCTGGTCACTCTGGTCACTCTGGTCAGTCCTGGTCATCCCTGATCATCCCTGGTCACCTTTGGTCACTCTGGTCAGTCCTGGTCATCCCTGATCATCCCTGGTCACCTTTGGTCACTCTGGTCAGTCCTGGTCATCCCTGATCATCCCTGGTCACCTTTGGTCACTCTGGTCAGTCCTGGTCATCCCTGGTCACCCCTGATCATCCCTGGTCACCCCTGATCATCCCTGGTCACCCCTGATCATCCCTGGTCACCCCTGATCATCCCTGGTCACCCCTGATCATCCCTGGTCACTCTGGTCACCTTTGGTCATCTCTGGTCACCTTTGGTCACCCCTGATCATCCCTGGTCACTCTGGTCATCCCTGGTCACCTTTGGTCACCCCTGATCATCCCTGGTCATCCCTGGTCACTCTGGTCATCTCTGGTCAGTCCTGGTCACTCTGGTCAGTTCTGGTCATCCCTGGTCACCCTTGGTCACCCCTGGCCATCCCCAGTCAACCCTGGTCATTCCAGGACATCCCTGGTCATTCCAGGTTACTCCTGGTCATCCCTGGTCACTCTGGTCACTCCTGGTCACCCCAGGTGCCACCCCAGCCCAGATGCCACCCCAGGTGTCCCCAAGGTGACATTTGTCCCTCACCTTTGGTCACTCTGGTCAGTCCTGGTCATCCCTGGTCACCCCTGATCATCCCTGGTCACTCTGGTCACTCTGGTCACCTTTGGTCACTCTGGTCAGTCCTGGTCACTCTGGTCACTCTGGTCAGTCCTGGTCATCCCTGGTCACCCCTGATCATCCCTGGTCACCCCTGATCATCCCTGGTCACTCTGGTCACCTTTGGTCATCTCTGGTCACCTTTGGTCACCCCTGATCATCCCTGGTCACTCTGGTCATCCCTGGTCACCCCTGGTCACTCCTGGTCACCTTTGGTCATCCCTGGTCACTCTGGTCAGTCCTGGTCATCCCTGGTCATCCCTGGTCACTCTGGTCAGTCCTGGTCATCCCTGGTCACCTTTGGTCACTCCTGGTCACTCTGGTCATTCTTGGTCATCCCTGGTCACTCCTGGTCACCTTTGGTCACCCCTGATCATCCCTGGTCATCCCTGGTCACTCTGGTCATCTCTGGTCAGTCCTGGTCACTCTGGTCAGTTCTGGTCATCCCTGGTCACCCTTGGTCACCCCTGGCCATCCCCAGTCAACCCTGGTCATTCCAGGACATCCCTGGTCATTCCAGGTTACTCCTGGTCATCCCTGGTCACTCCAGGCCATCCCAGGTGCCACCCCAGCCAGATGCCACCCCAGGTGCCACCCCAGGTGTCCCCAAGGTGACATTTGTCCCCACCAGGGAGCCCTCGAGGTTGAAGGTCTGCGCGTTCTGGCACAGCAGCACCACGTCCTTCTCCAGCCCATCCTGGTCACTCTGGTCATTCTTGGTCACCTTTGGTCACCCCTGATCATCCCTGGTCATCCCTGGTCACTCTGGTCATCTCTGGTCAGTCCTGGTCACTCTGGTCAGTTCTGGTCATCCCTGGTCACCCTTGGTCACCCCTGGCCATCCCCAGTCAACCCTGGTCATTCCAGGACATCCCTGGTCATTCCAGGTTACTCCTGGTCATCCCTGGTCACTCTGGTCACTCCTGGTCACCCCAGGTGCCACCCCAGCCCAGATGCCACCCCAGGTGTCCCCAAGGTGACATTTGTCCCTACCAGAGACCCCTCGAGGTTGAAGGTCTGCGCGTGCTGGCACAGCAGCACCACGTCCTTCTCCAGCCCATCCCAGTCCATCCCAGTCCATCCCAGTCCATCCCAGCCCATCCCAGCCCACCCCAGATGTCACCAAAGGTGCCACCCCAGCCCAGGTGCCACCCCAGGTGCCACCAAGGTGACATTTGTCCCTGCCAGGGACCCCTCGAGGTTGAAGGTCTGCGCGTTCTGGCACAGCAGCGCCACGTCCTTCTCCAGCCCATCCCAGTCCATCCCAGCCCATCCCAGCCCACCCCAGATGTCACCAAAGGTGCCATCCCACCCCAGGTGCCACCCCAGGTGTCCCCAAGGTGACATCTGTCCCCACCAGGGAGCCCTCGAGGTTGAAGGTCTGCGCGTTCTGGCACAGCAGCATCACGTCCTTCTCCAGGTCGTTCAGGCTCCGGTACTTGTGGTTCCGGATCCGCTCCTGGCGGCAGGAACCGGGTCAGGGAGGAACCAGGAGGACCCAGGAGGATCCTGGTAGATCCTGGTGGCTCCGGTACTTGTGGTTCCGGATCCGCTCCTGGCGGCAGGAACCGGGTCAGGGAGGAACCAGGAGGACCCAGGAGGATCCTGGTGGATCCAAGTGGATCCTGGTGGATCCTGGTGGACCCAGGAGGATCTCAGTGGATCCTGGTGGACCCAAGAGGATCCCGGTGGATCCGGGTGGATCCCAATGCATCCCAGTGGATCCAGGAGGACCCAGGAGGATCTCAGCAGATCCTGGTGGACCCAGGCGAATCCAGGAGGACCCTGGTGGATCCAGGAGGATCCCGGTGAATCCAGGTGGACCCATGAGGATCCTGGTGGATCCAGGAGGATCTCAGTGTATCCCAGTGGATCCATGAGGATCCTGGTGGACCCAGAAGGACCCAGGAGGACCCAGGAGGATCCCGGTGGACCCAGGAGGACCCAGGAGGATCCCAGTGGATCTTGGTGGACCCAGGAGGACCCAGGAGGATCCCGGTGGATCTTGGTGGATCCAGCAGGATCTCAATGGATCCCAGTGGATCCTGGTGGATCTCAGTACCTTGATCTTCTTGAAGTCCACGGGCTTGCGGATGAGCTCGTAGTACTCCGGGAGCTCCTTGCGGGACGGGAGCTGGATGAAGACCTCGCTCAGCTGCCGCCCGCTGCTGCTGCGGGGGGAAACGGGAGTGAGGGGGGGCCTTCCTCCCCTCACCATCAGCATCCTCTTGTACTCATCCTCCTCAACATCTCATCATCCTCACCCTCATCATCTTCATCCCATTGTCTTCATCATCATCATCTCATCATCATCAACATCACATCTCATCGTCCTCATCATCATCATCTCATCATCCTCACCATCATCATCATCATCATCATCATCATCATCATCATCATCATCATCATCATCATCATCATCATCAGGAGGACCCAGGAGGATCCCGGTGGATCTTGGTGGATCCAGCAGGATCTCAATGGATCCCAGTGGATCCTGGTGGATCTCAGTACCTTGATCTTCTTGAAGTCCACGGGCTTGCGGATGAGCTCGTAGTACTCCGGGAGCTCCTTGCGGGACGGGAGCTGGATGAAGACCTCGCTCAGCTGCCGCCCGCTGCTGCTGCGGGGGGAAACGGGAGTGAGGGGGGGCCTTCCTCCCCTCACCATCAGCATCCTCTTGTACTCATCCTCCTCAACATCTCATCATCCTCACCCTCACCATCATCCTCATCATCTCATCATCATCATCATCATCATCATCATCATCATCCTGTTGTATTCATCCTCCTCAACATCTCATCATCCTCACCCTCATCATCTTCATCCCATTGTCCTCATCCTCATCATCTCATCATCACCATCATCATCCTGTTGTACTCAGCCTCATCAACATCTCATCATCCTCACCCTCACCATCATCATCCCTTCATCTTCTGGGACATCCCAGGAACCCCCAAGAACGCCCAGGAACCCCCCATACCACGTGTCCTCCTCACCTGTCCTTGTACTTGATGACGACCAGGAACCCTCAAGAACCTCCAGAACCCCCAGGAACCTCCAGAACCCCCAAGAACCCCCAAAAACCCCCAGGAACCCCCCACCACCACGTGTCCTCCTCACCTGTCCTTGTACTTGATGACGACCAGGACCACCAGGAACCCCCAGGAACTTTCAGGAACCTCAGGACCACCTGGGACCCTCCCGGAACCCCCAGGAACCCCCCATCCCACGTGTCCTCCTCACCTGTCCTTGTACTTGATGACAATCAGGAACCTCCAGGAACCTCCTGAACCCTCAGGAACCCCCAGGAACCTCCAGGAAGCCTCAAGAAGACTCAAGAACCCCCAGGAACCCCCCATCCCACGTGTCCTCCTCACCTGTCCTTGTACTTGATGACGGCGTCGACGATCTTGCGCATCTTGCGGGTCAGGGGCGGTGGGTTTGGGGACAGCTTCTCGGCCGGGGGCCGCCCCCGTTTCTTCTGCTTGCTCCTCTCCTCGTCCTTGTCGCGGCTGCGGGCGCCCGCCGGGGGTCCCGGGGGTCCCTCGGGCTCGCGCTTCCGCTTCCGCGAGGATTTCTTTTGCCGGACCTCCTCCTCGATCTCCTCCAGGGTGCCCTCCTCGATGGCCTGGGGGAGCGGGGACAAAGGGATTGGGGACAAAGGGTTTGGGGGGCAAAGGGGTTTGGGGATCCGCAGGGATTGGGGGCCAAAGGGGTTTGGGATCTTTGGGATGCGGGTCCAAAGGGGTTTGGGATCTACAGGGATTGGGGTCTAAAGGGGTTTGGGATCTACAGGGGTTTGGGGTCTACAGGGGTTTGGGAGCTACACGAATTTGGGATCCAAAGGGGTTTAGGATCTACAGGGGTTTGGGATCTACAGGGGTTTGGGGGGCCAAAGGGGTTTGGGATCTACAGGGGTTTGGGGGGCCAAAGGGGTTTGGGGGCCAAAGGGGTTTGGGATCTACAGGGGTTTGGGATCTACAGGGATTTAGGATCTACAGGGACTGGAGGTCCAAAGGGGTTTGGGGTCCAAAGCGATTTGGGATCCAAAGGGGTTTGGGGGGCCAAAGGGGTTTGGGGGCCAAAGGGGGTTGGGATCTACAGGGGTTTGGGATCTACAGGGATTTAGGATCTACAGGGACTGGAGGTCCAAAGGGGTTTGGGGTCCAAAGCGATTTGGGATCCAAAGGGGTTTGGGAGCCCAAGGGGTTTGGGGTCTAAAGGCGTTTGGGATCCAAAGGGGTTTGGGGATCCACAGGGATTGGGGATCCTTGGGACTGGTGACCCTTGGGATTTGGGATCCTTGGGATTTGGGATCCTCGAGATTGGTGACCCTTGGGATTCGGGACCCTTGGGATTTGGGATCCTTGGGACTGGGGATCCTTGGGGTGGGAGATCCTTACAGGGAAGGGTTAACGGGGTCGGGGACGGCTCGGGGGGAGCGGGGTTTGGGATGGATCGTCTGAGGTGGGATGGGGTTTGGGATGGATCTTCTGAGGTGGGATGGGGATTGGGATGGATCTCCTGAGGTGGGATTGGGGTTTGGGGCCATCTGAGGTGGGATTGGGGATTGGGATGGATCTCCTGAGGTGGGATCGGGTTTGGGATGGATCCTCTGAGGGTTCACGGTTATGTGAGGTGGGATTGGGGCCTCCCTCCTCCTCCCCCTCCTCATGCTCCATTTCCCCCCTTCCTCGTTTCCTCCTCCTCTTCCTCAGGAGATCTGGAGATCCCTGGGACTGGTGCCCCTTGGGATTTGGGATCCTCGGGACTGGGGCTCCTTGGGATTTGGATTCTTGGGACTGGAGATCCTTGGGATTTGGGATCCTTGGGACTGGTGCCCCTTGGGATTTGGGACCCTTGGGATTTGGGATCCTTGGGATTTGGGATTCTTGGGGCGGGAGATCCTTGGGATGGTGGGATTCGGGATCCTCAGGATTTGGGATCCCCAGTGATTCGGGACCCTTGGGATTTGGGATCCTTGGGACTGGGGATCCTTGGGGTGGGAGATCCTTAGGATTTGGGATCCTTGGGATGGTGACCCTTGGCATTTGGGGTCCTTGGGACTGGAGATCCTTGGGATTCGGGACCCTCGGGATTTGGGATCTGTGGAATTCAGGATCCTTGGGATTTGGGATCCTTGGGATGGTGACCCTTGGGAATGGTGACCCACGGGATTTGGGATCCTTGGGGTGAGAAATCCTTGGCATTTGGGATCCTCGGGACTGGTGACCCTTGGGATTTGGGATCCGTGGGATTTGGGATTCTTAGGATGGTGACCCTTGTGATGGTGACCCTTGGGATTTGGGATCCTTGGAATGGTGACCCTCGGGATTTGGGATCCTTGGGATGGTGACCCTTGGGATTCAGGACCCTCGGAATTTGGGATCCCCAGCGATTTGGGACCCTCGGGATTTGGGATCCTTGGGATGGTGACCCTCGGGATTTGGGATCCCCAGCGATTCGGGACCCTCGGGATTTGGGATCCCCGGTGATTTGGGACCCTCCCCGCGGCGCCCCCAGCCCCGCCCACCTTGAGCCACTGCTTCTCGGTGAGCGAGTCGCTGTAGTCGACCTCCTTGCGGTGCCGCGAGCCGCGGCCGAACATCTTCTCCTCCTCCTCCTCGCAGGTGAGCCGCTCCACCTCGGCGTCGTCCTTGAGGATCCACGAGGGCAGCTCGTCCTCCTCCATCAGCCGCGGCTTCCGCTTGGGGTTCCGCGCCTCCTCGCGCCGCCGGTCCAGGTCCATGCGCTGGCCAGGGAAGGGTTAACGGGGCGGGGACGGCTCGGGGGGGAGCGGGGATTGGGATGGATCTTCTGAGGTGGGATGGGGTTTGGGATGGATCTTCTGAGGTGGGATGGGGTTTGGGATGGATCTTCTGAGGTGGGATGGGGTTTGGGATGGATCTTCTGAGGTGGGATGGGGTTTGGGATGGATCTTCTGAGGTGGGATGGGGTTTGGGATGGATCTTCTGAGGTGGGATGGGGTTTGGGATGGATCTTCTGAGGTGGGATGGGGTTTGGGATGGATCTTCTGAGGTGGGATGGGGTTTGGGATGGATCTTCTGAGGTGGGATGGGGTTTGGGATGGATCTTCTGAGGTGGGATGGGGTTTGGGATGGATCTTCTGAGGTGGGATGGGGTTTGGGATGGATCTTCTGAGGTGGGATGGGGTTTGGGATGGGGATCGAGGCCATCTGAGGTGGGATTGGGGTTTGGGATGGATCTTCTGAGGTGGGATTGGGTTTGGGATGGATCTTCTGAGGTGGGATTGGGGTTTGGGGCCATCTGAGGTGGGATCGGGATTGGGATGGATCTTCTGAGGTGGGATGGGGTTTGGGATGGATCTTCTGAGGTGGGATGGGGTTTGGGATGGATCTTCTGAGGTGGGATGGGGTTTGGGATGGATCTTCTGAGGTGGGATGGGGTTTGGGATGGATCTTCTGAGGTGGGATGGGGTTTGGGATGGATCTTCTGAGGTGGGATGGGGTTTGGGATGGATCTTTCCTCCCTCCCTCCTCCCCCTCCTCCCGCTCCATTTCCCTCCTTCCTCATCTCCTCTTCCTCCTCATCTTCCTCCTCATCTCCTCCTCCTCTTCCTCATCTCCTCCTCTTCCTCCTCATCTTCTCCTCCTCCTCCTCAGGAGCTCTTCCTCCCCCGCCCTTCCTCCCTCCTCATCTCCTCCTCCTCTTCCTCCCTGCCCTTCCTCCCTCCCTCCTCCTCCTCCTCACGCTCCATTTCCCTCCTTCCTCATCTCCTCTTCCTCCTCATCTTCCTCCTCATCTCCTCCTCCTCTTCCTCATCTCCTCTTCCTCCTCCTCATCTTCTCCTCCTCCTCCTCCAGCTCCATTTCCCTCCCTCCTCATCTCCTCTTCCTCATCTCCTCCTCCTTTTCCTCCTCGGCTGATCTTCCTCCCAGCCCTTCCTCCCTCCTCCTCCTCCTCTTCAGGCTCCATTTCTCTCCTTCCTCATCTCCTCCTCCTCCTCCTCCTCATCTTCCTCCTCATCTCCTCCTCCTCTTCCTCATCTCCTCTTCATCTCCTCCTCCTCTTCCTCATCTCCTCTTCCTCCTCCTCATCTTCTCCTCCTCCTCCTCCAGCTCCATTTCCCTCCCTCCTCATCTCCTCTTCCTCATCTCCTCCTCCTTTTCCTCCTCGGCTGATCTTCCTCCCAGCCCTTCCTCCCTCCTCCTCCTCCTCTTCAGGCTCCATTTCTCTCCTTCCTCATCTCCTCCTCCTCCTCCTCCTCATCTTCCTCCTCATCTCCTCCTCCTCTTCCTCATCTCCTCCTGCTCCTCCCCAGCCCTTCCTCCCCGCTCCTCCTCCTCCTCCTCACCATGAAGAGGTCGAACTCCTCCTCGTGCCGGGCGATCATCTGATTCACCGTCTCGTCGTCGGGCACCTCGTCCTCCTCCTGGGGAACCCAAACTCGGCGTCACCGCGGCCCCGGGACCCCGGGACCCCCCGGCGCCGCGGGTTCGAGTCCCGCCCCCGCAGCTTCGCCGCCCCCGGCCCCGCTTTGGGGCCATTTTTGTCGTTTTTGGGGTTTTTAATGGGGTTTTTTGGCTGATTTTTGGGGGGGTTTGGTGGAGTTTTGAGGGGTTTTGGGGGGTTTAAATTGGGATTTTTGGAGGGTTTAAATTTGGATTTTTGGCTCATTTTTTGGGGGGTTTTGGTGGAATTTTGAGGGGTTTTGGGGTTTAAATTGGAATTTTTGGGGGGTTTAAATTGGATTTTTTGGCTCGGTTTTGGTGGATTTTTGATGGGTTTTTTGGGGTTTAAATTGGGATTTTTGGCTCGGTCTTGGTGGAGTTTTGAGGGGTTTTGGGTGGTTTAAATTGGGATTTTTGGGGGGGTTAAATTTGGATTTTTGGCTCAATTTTTGGGGGGTTTTGGTGCATTTTTCATGGGTTTTGGGGGTTTAAATTGGGATTTTTTTTGGCTCGGTTTTTGGGGGTTTTGGTGGAATTTTGATGGGTTTTGGGTGGTTTAAACTGCGATTTTTGGCTTGATTTTTGGGGGGTTTTGGTGGATTTTTGATGGGTTTTTTGGGGTTTAAATTGGGTTTTTTGCCTCGTTTTTGGGTGGTTTTGGTGGATTTTTGATTGTTTTTGGGTGGTTTAAATGGGGGTTTTTGGCTCGGTTTGGGGCGATTCGGGCGATTTTTGTCATTTGGCTTGGTTTTTTGGGGGGTTTTGGTGGATTTTTGATGGGTTTTGGGGGGTTTCAGTTGGGGGTTTTGGGGGGTTTAATTTGGGTTTTTTGGGGGGTTTAAATTGGTTTTTTTTGCTCCTTTTTGGGGGATTTTGGTGGATTTCTGATGGGTTTTGGGTGGTTTAAATTTGGATTTTTGGCTCGTTTTTGGGGGGTTTTGGTGGATTTTTGATGGATTTTTTGGGGTTTAAATTGGGATTTTTGGCTCGGTTTTGGGGGGTTTTTGATCAGTTTTGGGTGGTTTTAATGGGTTTTTTCCCTCTTTTTTGGGGGTTTTGGTAGATTTTTGCTCAGTTTTGGGTGGTTTAAATTGGGGTTTTTTGACTCGGTTTTGGGGGGTTTTGGTGGATTTTTGATGGGTTTAAATTGGGATTTTTGGGGAGTTTTTGGTGGATTTTTGATGGGTTTTGGGTGGTTTAAATTGGGTTTTTTGGGGGGTTGAAATTGGGGTTTTTGGGGGGTTTAAATTGGTTTTTTTTGGATGGTTTTAATGGGTTTTGGGGGGTTTCAGTTGGGGGTTTTGGGGGGTTTAATTTGGGTTTTGGGGGGTTTAATTTGGGTTTTTTGGGGGCTTCCAATGGGTTTTTTCCATAGTTTAAATAGGGTTTTTTTGGGTGGTTTAAATTGGGATTTTTGGATCATTTTTGATCAGTTTTGGGTGGTTGAAATTGGGTTTTTTGGGTGATTTAAATTGGGGTTTTTGGCTCACTTTTGGGGGGTTTTGGTGGAATTTTGATGGGTTTTGGGGGGGGGTTCAATTGGGTTTTTTGGGTGGTTCCAATGGTTTTTGTGGGTGGTTTTAATTGGGTTTTTTTTGGCTCGTTTTTGGGTGGTTTTAGTGGATTTTTGTCCATTTTTTGGGTGGTTTCAACGCATTTTTTTCCTCATTTTTGGGTGGTTTCAATGGGGTTTTTTTGGCTCATTTTGGGGTGGTTTCAGTGGGGTTTTTTGGCTCTTTTTGGGTGGTTTCAATGGGTTTTTTTCTGATTTTTTGGTGGTTTAAATGGCATTTTTCCCCCTCAGACTGTTTAAATCTCACTTTTGGCCCTTCCACACCATTTCAATCTCACTTTTGGGCATTTAAAATTCATTTCTGTCCCTTCCAAGCCATTTCAATTTCACTTTTGATCCTTACAAGCCATTTAAATCTCGCTTTTGGCAATTTCAGACCATTTCAATCTCATTTTTGTCATTCTCAGGCCACTTCAATCTCATTTTTGGTCTTTCCAAGCCACTTCAATCTCACCTAAAATTTAAATTTGGCCATTTAAAATTCATTTCTGCCCCTTCCAAGCCACTTCAATCTCACTTTTGGCCCTTCAGACCATTTAAATCTCATTTTTATCATTCTCTAGACCGTTTAAATCTCACTTTTGGTTTTCCCAAGCCACTCAAATCTCACTTTTGGCCATTTCAATCTCATTTCTGTCCCTTCCAAGCCACCTAAATCTCACTTTTGGCTGTTTCAGACCATTTAAGTCTCATTTTTGGTGCTCTCAGGCCATTTCAATCTCACTTTTGGTCCTTCCAAGCCATTTAAATGTCACTTTTGGCCATTTTAGACCACCTCAATCTGACTTTTGGCCATCTGAGACCATTTCAATCTCATTTCTGGCTCTTCCAAGCCATTTCAATCTCACTTTTAGCCATTTCAAGTCACTTGAATCTCACTTTTGGCCATTTGAAGCCATTTCAATCTCATTTTTTTCACTCTCAAGCCACTTCAATCTCACTTTCGGTCCTTCCAGGCCATTTACTATCCCAGTTTTGGCCATTTCAGACCATTTCAATCTCATTTCTGGCTCTTCCAAGCCATTTGAATCTCACTTTTGGCTGCTTCAAGATATTTCTATCTCACTTTTGGCCATTTCAGGCCATTTCAATCTCATTTCTGGCTCTTCCGAGCCATTTCAGTCTCACTTTTGGCCATTTCAAGCTATTTGAATCTCACTTTTGGCTGCTTCAAGCCATTTCAATCTCACTTTTGGCCATTTCAGACCATTCAAATCTCACTTTTCGCACTCTCAGGCCACTTAAATCTCACTTTTGTCTGTTTCAGGCCATTGAAATCTCACTTTTGGCCCTTCTAAAGCATTTAAATCTCATTTCTGGCTCTTCCAAGCCATTTCAATCTCACTTTTGGCCATTTCAGACCATTCAAATCTCCCTTTTCGCACTCTCAGGCCACTTAAATCTCCCTTTTGTCTGTTTCAGGCCATTGAAATCTCACTTTTGGCCATTCCAGGCCATTTCAATCTGACTTTTGGCCATTTCAAGCCACTTAGATCTCAATTCTGGCTATTTCAAGCCACTTTAATCTCACTTTTGGCTCTTCCAAGCCACTTAAATCTCACTTTTGGCCACTCCAAGCCATTTAAATCTCACTTTTGACCATTTCAGGCCATTGAAATCTCACTTTTGACTCTTTCAAGCCACTTCAATCTCACTTTTGGCCATTTCAGACCATTTCAATCTCACTTTTGGCCACTTCAGACCATGTAAATCTCATTTTTTTTCGCTCTCTGGCCATTTAAACCTCACTTTTGGCCATTTTAGACCATTTCAATCTCATTTTTTTTGCTCTCTGGCCATTTCATTCTCACTTCTGACCCTTGCCACCTCACATGAATTATCTGAATCTCTCTGAATCTCACTGCTGTCTGTGCCCAGCCCTTGTCCCTGCTCTGGTGGCGCTGGCTGAGCCCTGCCGGGGCGGTGCCATTTCAATCTCATTTCTGGCTCTTCCAAGCCACTTCAATCTCACTTTTAGCCATTTCAAGTCACTTGAATCTCACTTTTGGCCATTTGAAGCCATTTCAATCTCATTTTTTTCACTCTCAAGCCACTTCAATCTCACTTTCGGTCCTTCCAGGCCATTTACTATCCCAGTTTTGGCCATTTCAGACCATCTGTCAATCCGTCCCCTTTTTTTTTTTATTATTTTTATTTTTTTTCTTTTTTTTTTTTTTTAATTTAAAACCCCCGACGTTACTTTCCCGAAAAAATTCCAAACAAGCTGCCATGCTCCCTGCTCTTGGGGTTGGTTTGTTTGTATATATATATAATTTTTTTTTTTTTTTGTATTTTTCTTTTTTCTCTCTCTCTGCCTCCTAACCCCCAAAAAATAAAAATTCCCCCAGGGGAAAAAAAACTCCTGCTCTGGATCTCACCTCATCCTGCTCCTCGTGCTCGAGGATGGCCTGGAGGAAAGCACGGCGCTCGTGGCTGGAGGATTTCTGGTCGAACATCCCTGCCTGGATCACTTTTTGGTCCACGTTGAGTTTGTATTTGGCTGCTGCCAGGATTTTTTCCTCCACGCTGTTGACGGTGCAGAGGCGGAGCACGCGGACCTCGTTCTGCTGCCCGATGCGGTGAGCGCGGTCCTGGGCCTGCAGGTCCTGGGGGAAGGGGGTGGGGATGGCTCTGGGCGACCAAAAATCCCCTTCTGGTCCTCAAAAATCCCCTTCTTGTCCTCGAAAATCCCCTTCTTGTCCTCAAAAATCCCCTTCTGGTCCTCAAAAATCCCCTTTTCGTCCTCGAAAATCCCCTTCTTGTCCTCAAAATCCCTTGTTTGTCCTAAAAAACCCTGGTTCTGTCCTCAAAATCCCTGATTTTGTCCTCAAAAATCCCCTTCTCGTCCTCGAAAATCCCCTTCTTGTCCTCAAAATCCCTTGTTTGTCCTAAAAACCCTGGTTCTGTCCTCAAAATCCCGGGTTTGTCCTCAAAATCCCTGATTTTGTCCTTAAAATCCCAGGTTCTCTCCTTAAAATCCCTGATTTTGTCCTCAAAATCCCAGGTCTGTCTTCAAAATCCCTGGTTCTGTCCTCAAAATCCCAGGATTTGTCCTCAAAATCCCAGGTTTGTCTTCAAAATCCCAGGTTTTGTCCTGAAAATCCCTGGTTTGTCCTCAAAATCCCAGGATTTATCCTGAAAATCCCTGCTTTGTCCTCAAAATCTGCAGGGAATCCCAAAGATGATGGGAATGGAATCACCAGGACCGTGTAAGTCCCACAGGACAGGACAAGTTTGGCCAAAGAAGTGCCAAAAATCCAAATTTTGTCCTCAAAATCCACGGGGATGAGCCCTGAGGGATCCAAGAATGGAACTATGGAGATCCCAAAATCCAACTTTTAACCTTAAAAACACGGGATGCACCCCAAGAGCTCCCAAAGATCCCAAAAAAAATTATGGGAATTTGAGTGACGGGATTGGTGGGACCATGAAGGTCCTGGAGGAAATCGCCACATTGGCCAAAAAATACCAAAAAAGCCGTTTTTAATCCCAAATAAACCACGGGAAAGGCATGGGATGCACCCCAAGAGCTCCCAAAGATCCCAAAAAAATTATGGGAATTTGAGTGACGGGATTGGTGGGACCATGAAGGTCCTGGAGGAAATCGCCACATTGGCCAAAAAATACCAAAAAAGCCGTTTTTAATCCCAAATAAACCACGGGAAAGGCATGGGATGCACCCCAAGAGCTCCCAAAGATCCCAAAAAAATTATGGGAATTTGAGTGACGGGATTGGTGGGACCATGAAGGTCCTGGAGGAAATCGCCACATTGGCCAAAAAATACCAAAAAAGCCGTTTTTAATCCCAAATAAACCACGGGAAAGGCATGGGATGCACCCCAAGAGCTCCCAAAGATCCCAAAAAAATTATGGGAATTTGAGTGACGGGATTGGTGGGACCATGAAGGTCCTGGAGGAAATCGCCACATTGGCCAAAAAATACCAAAAAAGCCGTTTTTAATCCCAAATAAACCACGGGAAAGGCATGGGATGCACCCCAAGAGCTCCCAAAGATCCCAAAAAAATTATGGGAATTTGAGTGACGGGATTGGTGGGACCATGAAGGTCCTGGAGGAAATCGCCACATTGGCCAAAAAATACCAAAAAAGCCGTTTTTAATCCCAAATAAACCACGGGAAAGGCATGGGATGCACCCCAAGAGCTCCCAAAGATCCCAAAAAAATTATGGGAATTTGAGTGACGGGATTGGTGGGACCATGAAGGTCCTGGAGGAAATCGCCACATTGGCCAAAAAATACCAAAAAAGCCGTTTTTAATCCCAAATAAACCACGGGAAAGGCATGGGATGCACCCCAAGAGCTCCCAAAGATCCCAAAAAAATTATGGGAATTTGAGTGACGGGATTGGTGGGACCATGAAGGTCCTGGAGGAAATCGCGACATTGGCCAAAAAGTGCCAAAAGAGCCGTTTTTAACCCCAAATAAACCACGGGATGCACCGTGAGGATCTCCAAGGATTAGGAAAATTTGGGTAACGGCATCACCGGGACCAGGATTCTTCTGGGAAGGAGCAGCATTAGATGAGGAGACCCAAAACCTCCATTTTTCTCCTCAAAGACGCGGGATGCGCCCTCGGCGATCCCAGAGGGTTTTGGGAATTCCAGGACAGGATCGTGGGATGTTCTTTCCTTCTGAGGGAGCAGGGAAAACCCAGCTGCAAACATCGGGATTTGGGGGCGGCTCTTCCAGGACGGAATTCCAAGATCGTGGCTCCTCTTTGGGTCAGGTGGTTTTGGGGCCGGTTCATTGGGTTTTGGGTCAGTCAGTTGGGATGCGCCCTCGGCGATCCCAGAGGGTTTTGGGAATTCCAGGACAGGATCGTGGGATGTTCTTTCCTTCTGAGGGAGCAGGGAAAACCCAGCTGCAAACATCGGGATTTGGGGGCGGCTCTTCCAGGACGGAATTCCAAGATCGTGGCTCCTCTTTGGGTCAGGTGGTTTTGGGGCCGGTTCATTGGGTTTTGGGTCGGTCAGTTGGGTTTGGGGTCGGTCAGTTGGGTTTTGGATTGGTCAGTTGGGTTTTGGGTCAATTTTTGTGTCAGTTTTTGGGTCGGTCAGTTGGGTTTTGGGTTGGTCAGTTGGGTTTTGGATTGGTCAGTTGGGTTTTAGGTCAGTCAGTTGGGTTTTGGGTCGGTCAGTTGAGTTTTGGGTCAATTTTTGTGTCAGTTTTTGGGTCGGTCAATTGGGTTTTGGGTCGGTCAGTTGGGTTTGGGGTCGGTCAGTTGGGTTTGGGGTCAATTTTTGGGTCAGTTTTTGGGTCAGTTGGGTTTTGGGTTGAGTTTTGTGTCAGTTTTTGGGTTTGTCAGTTGGGTTTTGGATCGATTTTGTGTCAGTTTTTGTGTCAGTTGGGCTTTGGGTCAATCAGTTGCTTTTTAGGTCAGTCAGTTGACTTTTTGGGTTGATCTTTGTGCCATTTTTTGGGTCAGTCAAGTTTTGGACGCATCAGTTGGGTTTTGGTTTGGTCAGTTGACTTTTGGGTTGACTTTTGGGTCATTTTTTGGGGTCAGTCAAGCTTTGGACGCGTCAGTTGGGTTTTGGGTTGAGTTTTGTGTCAGTTTTTGGGTCAGTTGGTTTTGGGTCAGTCAGTTGAGTTTTGGGTTGACTTTTATGCCATTTTTTGGGGTCAGTCGAGTTTCGGGTTGGTCAGTTGAGTTTTGGGTTGACTTTTGTGCCATTTTTTGGGTCAATTCCCTTTTGGGTTGCTCAGCTGACTTTTGGGTTGACTTTTTTGTGCCTTTTTTTTTGGGCCAGTTGGGTTTCGGGTTGGTCAGTTGGGTTTTGGGTTGTTGGGATGGTCAGATGACTTTTGGGTTGACTTTTGGGTCATTTTTTGGGGTCAGTCAAGCTTTGGACGCGTCAGTTGGGTTTTGGTTTGGTCAGTTGACTTTTGGGTTGACTTTTGGGTCATTTTTTAGGTCAGTTCCCTTTTGGGTTGACTTTTTTGTGCCGTTTTTTGGGTCAATCGGGGTTTGGGTTGGTCAGTTGAATTTTGGGTTGACTTTTGTGCCATTTTTTGGGGTCAGTCAAGTTTTGGGTTGGTCAGTTGAATTTTGGGTTGACTTTTGTGCCATTTTTTTGGTCAATTCCCTTTTGGGTTGCTCAGTTAACTTTTGGGTTGACTTTTGCACCATTTTTGGGGTCAGTCAGGTTTTGGGTTGGTCAGTTGGGTTTTGGGTTGACTTTTGTGCCATTTTTTGGGTCAGTTCCCTTTTGGGTTGACTTTTTGTGCCATTTTTTGGGGTTAGTTGAGTTTTGGGTTGGTCAGTTGAATTTTGGGTTGACTTTTACGCCATTTTTGGGGTCAGTCACATTTTGGGTTGGTCAGTTGGGTTTTGGGTTGACTTTTGTGCCATTTTTGGGGTCAGCTGACTTTTGGGTTGACTTTTTTGGGTTAGTTGGGTTTCGGGTTGGTCAGTTGGGTTTTGGGTTGGTCAGTTGAGTTTTGGGTTGACTTTTATGCCATTTTTTGGGTCAATTCCCTTTTGGCTTGCTCAGTTGACTTTTGGGTTGACTTTTGTGTCATTTTTGGGGTCAGTTCCCTTTTGGGTTGACTTTTTTGTGCCGTTTTTTGGGCCAGTTGGGTTTCGGGTTGGTCAGTTGAGTTTTGGGTTGACTTTTGTGCCGTTTTTTGGCTCAATTCCCTTTTAGGTCGCTCAGTTGACTTCTGATTGACTTTTACACCATTTTTACATCGACCAATTTCAGGCCGATTTCAAACCTCTCTTTGGGCCTCAACATCCCCATTCCCGAGCCGATTTTTGGGTCCGTTTCCGATCCCGCGGATCCGTTTCGGCGCCGCTCGCTCCCGGCCCTACCTGGTGCGGGTTCCAGTCGCTGTCGAAGATGATGACGGTGTCGGCCGACTGCAGGTTGAGGCCCAAGCCGCCGGCGCGCGTGCTCAGCAGGAAGATGAAATACTCGGAGCCGGGCTCGTTGAACGTCTTCAACAACATCCCCCGGTCCTCGGCCTTGGTGGTCCCTGCAACCCCACACGGGCGTCACTCCCGGAACCACGGAAGGTTCCGGAAGGTTCAGTTGGGAATGGGGTTCCCATTGGGTTGAGTTCCCATTCCCGATCCCAATGGGGCTCGTTTTGGGTTTGGGGGATTTTGGGAGAAGGATTGGGGAAAAAAACTGGGGGAAGGGGGGGATCCTGCTCTGGGGTGGGGAGAAGTTGGGATCGCAGCAGTCAGAATTATTGAGGTCATTTTGGGGTGATTTTGGTCAATTTTGGGGTCGGTTTGGGGTCATTTTGAGGGATATCTGAGGGCCATGGGCGACATTTTGTGTTCTTAGTCCGTGCTCATTTCAGAATCATTTAGGTCAGAAGGGATTTAAAGCCCATCGTGTTCTGACCCAATTAATTCAATCAATTAATTTATATTTGTTTTGGTCACTTCGGAACTTAATTATTGAGGCCATTTTGGGGTGATTTTGGTCAATTCTGGGGCTGTTTTGGGGTCATTTTGAAGGATATGTGAGGGCCATGGGTGACATTTTGTGCTCTTCATCCATGCTCATTCGAGAATAATTTCAGTTGGAAGGGCAACATCCCCATTCCCGAGCCGATTTTTGGGTCCGTTTCCGATCCCGCGGATCCGTTTCGGCGCCGCTCGCTCCCGGCCCTACCTGGTGCGGGTTCCAGTCGCTGTCGAAGATGATGACGGTGTCGGCCGACTGCAGGTTGAGGCCCAAGCCGCCGGCGCGCGTGCTCAGCAGGAAGATGAAATACTCGGAGCCGGGCTCGTTGAACGTCTTCAACAACATCCCCCGGTCCTCGGCCTTGGTGGTCCCTGCAACCCCACACGGGCGTCACTCCCGGAACCACGGAAGGTTCCGGAAGGTTCAGTTGGGAATGGGGTTCCCATTGGGTTGAGTTCCCATTCCCGATCCCAATGGGGCTCGTTTTGGGTTTGGGGGATTTTGGGAGAAGGATTGGGGAAAAAAAGGGGGGGATCCTGCTCTGGGGTGGGGAGAAGTTGGGATCGCAGCAGTCAGAATTATTGAGGTCATTTTGGGGTGATTTTGGTCAATTTCCATTGGGTTGAGTTCCCATTCCCGATCCCAATGGGGCTCGTTTTGGGTTTGGGGGATTTTGGGAGAAGGATTGGGGAAAAAAACTGGGGGAAGGGGGGGATCCTGCTCTGGGGTGGGGAGAAGTTGGGATCGCAGCAGTCAGAATTATTGAGGTCATTTTGGGGTGATTTTGGTCAATTTTGGGGTCGGTTTGGGGTCATTTTGAGGGATATCTGAGGGCCATGGGCGACATTTTGTGTTCTTAGTCCGTGCTCATTTCAGAATCATTTAGGTCAGAAGGGATTTAAAGCCCATCGTGTTCTGACCCAATTAATTCAATCAATTAATTTATATTTGTTTTGGTCACTTCGGAACTTAATTATTGAGGCCATTTTGGGGTGATTTTGGTCAATTCTGGGGCTGTTTTGGGGTCATTTTGAAGGATATGTGAGGGCCATGGGTGACATTTTGTGCTCTTCATCCATGCTCATTCGAGAATAATTTCAGTTGGAAGGGACTTTAAATCCTATCATGTTCCAAACCAATTAATTAATCAATTAATCTATATTTGTTTTAGTCACATGGGAACAGAATTACTGAGGCCATTTTGGGGTGATTTTGGTCAATTCTGGGGCTGTTTTGGGGCCATTTTTAGGGATATGTGAGGGCCATGGGCGACATTTTGTGCTCTTAATCCGTGCTCATTCCAGAATCATTTGGGTTGGAAGGGACTTAAATCCCACCCTGTTCCGACCCAATTAATTAATCAATTAATCTATATTTGTTTTAGTCACATGGGAACAGAATTATTGAGGCCATTTGGGGTGATTCTGGTCAATTTTGGGGCAGTTTGGGGTCATTTTTGGGGATATGTGAGGGCCATGGGCGACATTTTGTGCCCTTAATCCGTGCTCATTCCAGAATCATTTGGGTTGGAAGGGACTTAAATCCCACCCTGTTCCGACCCAATTAATTAACCAATTAATCCAATTAATCCATATTTGTTTTAGTCACATGAGAACAGAATTATTGAGGCTATTTTTGGGTCATTTTGGGGCCATTTTTGGGGATATGTGAGGGCCATGGGTGACATTTTGCGCCCTTAATCCGTGCTCATTCCAGAGTCATTTGGGTTGGAAGGGATTTAAATCCCATCATGTTCCGACCCAATTAATTAACCAATTAATCCAATTAATCCATAATTGGTTTAATCACACGAGAACAGAATTATTGAGGCCATTTTGGGGCCATTTTTAGGGATATATGAGAGCCAAGGGTGACATTTTGTGCTCATTCCAGAATCATTTGGGTTGGAAGGGACCTTAAATCCCATCATGTTCCGACCCAATTAATTAACCAATTAATCCAATTAATCCATATTTGTTTTAGTCACATGAGAACAGAATTATTGAGGCCATTTTGGGGCCATTTTTAGGGATATCTGAGGGTCATGGGCGACATTTTGTGCCCTTAATCCGTGCTCATTTCAGAATCATTTGGGTTGGAAGGAACTTTAAATCCCACCCTATTAATTACCAATTAATTACCAATTAATCCATATTTGTTTTAGTCCCCCACCCCGACAGAATCCCGGGATTTAATCAGGAAATCAACTGGAAAAAAGCAGCAGGTAGCAGCAGGCAACGATGCCTTGATATCAATTATTGATATCTTGATATCAATATTCCATCACTTGATATCAATATTTGATAACAGATTGATATAATCAATATTTTGATATCAAAACCTAAAAATATTGATATCAATCTTTGATATCAGTCTTGATAGAAAGCTTGATTTTGATATCTTTAACGCTGATCTTGATACAAACCTTGATATTGATCTTTTTATTGGTATCGCAATATCAATCGATATCTCGCAATCTGGATATCAAGATATTGATCTTGATATTGATCTTGATATCAATCTCAATGTCTTGATATTGATCACACAATCTGGATATCAAGATATTGATCTTGATATCAATCTTAATGTCTCAATGTTGATCACACAATCTGGATATCAATATATTGATATTTAAAATCTTGATGCCAATCTTGATATCAATCTCATTATTGATCCCTCAATATCAATGTCTCGATATTGATCACACGATCTGGAGATCAATATATTGATATTTAAAATCTCGATGCCAATCTTGATATCAATCTCACTATTGATTTCCCAATATTGATCACACAATCTGGAGATCAATATATTGATATTTAAAATCTTGATATCAACCTTGATATCAACCTCACAATCGATGTCTCAATATCAATGTCTCAATATTGATCACACGATCTGGACATCAAGATATCGATATTAAAATCTTGATGCCAATCTCTGTATCAATCACACTATTGATTTCTCAATATCAATGTCTCAATATTGATCACACAATCTGTATATCAATATATTGATATTTAAAATCTTGATGCCAATCTTGATATTAATCTCTATTGATTTCTCAATATCAATGTCTCAATACTGATCACACAATCTGGACATGAAGATATTGATATTTAAAATCTTGGTGCCAATCTTGATATCAATCTCACTATTGATTTCTCAATATTGATCACACAATCTGGACATCAAGATGTTGATATTTAAAATCTTGATGCCAATCTTCATATCAATCTCACTATTGGTTTCCCAACATCAATGTTTCAATATTGATCACACGATCTGGACATCAAGACATTGATCTTTCTATTTATCAATATCTTATCTCACTTTCTCTCTCAATATTTACTTTGACACATTGAAATTCATCTCCTTATCTTCACATCTAATTTGATATCTCCACATCTTTAATTAAGATTTCTATTAATATTTTGATCGTTTTCTATGTTTTTTATCTTGACATTCCTCAACATCTTTCTATCCACTCCAATACTTTAATTTCTTTATATTTTGGGATCTTCTCTTGATGTTTTGACCTTGAGCTCCACCTTGACCACTGTCCCACCACATCCAATGACCTCTCCACATCTTTAATTAAGATTTAGATCAATATTTTGATGTTTTTTTATGTTTTTTATCTTGACATTCCTCAACATCTTTCTACCCACTCCAATACTTTAATTTCTTTATATTTTGGGATCTTCTCTTGATGTTTTGACCTTGAGCTCCACCTTGACCACTGTCCCACCACATCCAATGACCTCTCCACGTCTTTAATTAAGATTTATATCAATATTTTGATGGTTTTTTATGTTTTTTATCTTGATATTCCTCAACATCTTTCTACCCACTCCAATACTTGAATTTCTTCATATTTTGGGATCTTTTTTGATGTTTTGACCTTGAGCTCCACCTTGACCACTGTCCCACCACATCCAATGACCTCTCCACGTCTTTAATTAAGATTTATATTAATATTTTGATGGTTTTCGATGTTTTTTATCTTGATATTCCTCAACATCTTTCTACCCACTCAATACTTTAATTTCTTTATATTTTGGGATCTTCTCTTGATGTTTTGACCTTGAGCTCCACCTTGACCACTGTCCCACCACATCCAATGACCTCTCCACATCTTTAATTAAGATTTAGATCAATATTTTGATGTTTTTTTATGTTTTTTATCTTGATATTCCTCAACATCTTTCTACCCACTCCAATACTTGAATTTCTTCATATTTTGGGATCTTTTTTGATGTTTTGACCTTGAGCTCCACCTTGACCACTGTCCCACCACATCCAATCACCTCTCCACATCTTTAATTAAGATTTATATCAATATTTTGATGGTTTTTTATCTTGATATTCCTCAGCATCTTTCTACCCACACCCAATACTTTAATTTCTTTATATTTTGGAATATTTTTTTTGTGTTTTGACCTTGAGCTCCACCTTGACCACTGTCCCACCACATCCAATCACCTCTCCACATCTTTAATTAAGATTTATATCAATATTTTGATGGTTTTTTATCTTGATATTCCTCAGCATCTTTCTACCCACACCCAATACTTTAATTCCTTTATATTTTGGAATATTTTTTTTGTGTTTTGACCTTGAGCTCCACCTTGACCACTGTCCCACCACATCCAACGACTTCTCCACGTCCCACCCCACCCCAGGGCCACTCACCATCCAGCCTGAGGTATTTGAAGCCACGATAAGCAAAATAATCCTCCATGATGGTCATCAAGGAGGTCATCTGGCAGAAGAGCAGCACCTTGTGGTTGGTGGCGCGGAGTTTGGGCAGGATCCGGTCCAGGAGCTCGAACTTCCCGGAGGCGCGGTACAAATCCAGCCTGGCGTGGATCAAAATCACCAAAATGAGGGAAAAAAATGGGATTTGAGGCTGAAAATTTGGTGTTTCCCCCCCCTCGTTGGGATCATCTGGAAGCATGAGATGGGAATGGCTCGTCCTCCATCCCTAGAAATGGTTTTGGGTTTGTGAATTCACAGATTTCGGAATTAATCCCAAAATTTGTCACTCACCCCTGCACGATCCCGCCCGTGAAGCCCAAGTGCTCCGAGAAGGATTCCTGAAATGGGAGAGGAGAAATGGGGTCAGAAAAATGCAGAAATTGCCCCCAAAGAAATCTGGAAACTGCCCCAAATTCCTCAACATCTTTCTACCCACTCCAATACTTTAATTTCTTTATATTTTGGGATCTTCTCTTGATGTTTTGACCTTGAGCTCCACCTTGACCACTGACCCCACCACATCCAATGACCTCTCCACATCTTTAATTAAGATTTAGATCAATATTTTGATGTTTTTTTATGTTTTTTATCTTGATATTCCTCAACATCTTTCTACCCACTCCAATACTTTAATTTCTTTATATTTTGGGATCTTCTCTTGATGTTTTGACCTTGAGCTCCACCTTGACCACTGTCCCACCACATCCAATGACCTCTCCACATCTTTAATTAAGATTTAGATCAATATTTTGATGTTTTTTTATGTTTTTTATCTTGATATTCCTCAACATCTTTCTACCCACTCCAATACTTTAATTTCTTTATATTTTGGGATCTTCTCTTGATGTTTTGACCTTGAGCTCCACCTTGACCACTGTCCCACCACATCCAATGACCTCTCCACATCTTTAATTAAGATTTAGATCAATATTTTGATGTTTTTTTATGTTTTTTATCTTGATATTCCTCAACATCTTTCTACCCACCCCCAATACTTTAATTTCTTTATATTTTGGGATCTTTTCTTGATGTTTTGACCTTGAGCTCCACTGTCCCACCACCCTTGGGGTCACCACTGACCTCTCCACATCTTTAATTAAGAGATTTATATCAATATTTTTATGTTTTTTATCTTGATATTCCTCAACATCTTTCTACCCACTCCAATACTTTAATTTCTTTATATTTTGGGATCTTTTTTGATGTTTTGACCTTGAGCTCCACCTTGACCACTGACCCCACCACATCCAATGACCTCTCCACATCTTTAATTAAGATTTAGATCAATATTTTGATGTTTTTTTATGTTTTTTATCTTGATATTCCTCAACATCTTTCTACCCACTCCAATACTTTAATTTCTTTGTATTTTGGGATTTTTTCTTGATGTTTTGACCTTGAGCTCCACCTTGACCACTGTCCCACCACATCCAATGACCTCTCCACGTCTTTAATTAAGATTTAGATCAATATTTTGATGTTTTTTTATGTTTTTTATCTTGATATTCCTCAACATCTTTCTACCCACTCCAATACTTTAATTTCTTTGTATTTTGGGATTTTTTCTTGATGTTTTGACCTTGAGCTCCACCTTGACCACTGTCCCACCACATCCAATGACCTCTCCACGTCTTAGTTTAACCCTGCTGAGTTTAACCCTGTTGAGCTTAACCCTGTTGGGTTTAACCCAGTTGAGTTTTACCCTGCTGAGTTTAACCCTATTAGATTTATCCCTTTTTTTGTCCATCCCTGGCTCTCCTGGGTTTAACCCTGTTCAGTTTAACCCTGCTGGGTTTAATCTTTTTTTTTGTCCATCCCTGGCTCTCCTGGGTTTAACCCTCTGGAGTTTAACCCTGTTGGATTTAACCCTGTTGAGTTTAACCCTGTTGGGTTTATCCCAGTTGAGTTTATCCCTGTTGAGTTTATCCCTGTTCGGTTTATCCCTTTTTTTGTCCATCCCTGGCTCTCCTGGGTTTAACCCAGTTGAGTTTAACCCTGTTGGGTTTAACCTCATTGGGTTTATCCCTTTTCCAGTCCATCCCTGGCTCTCCTGGGTTTAACCCAGTTGAGTTTAACCCAGTTGAGTTTAACCCTGCTGAGTTTATCCCTTTTTTTTTGGTTCATCCCTGGCTCTCCTGGGTTTAACCCTCTGGAGTTTAAACCTGTTGGGTTTATCCCTGTTTGGGTTTAACGCTGTTAAGATTTTTTTGGTTTAACCCTGCTGAGTTTAACCCTGTTGGGTTTAACCCTGTTGGATTTAACCCTGTTGGGTTTAACCCTCTGGAGTTTAACCCCATTGGGTTTATCCCTTTTTTTGTCCATCCCTGGTTCTCCTGGGTTTAACCCTGTTGGGTTTAACCCTATTAGATTTATCCCTTTTTTTGTCCATCCCTGGCTCTCCTGGGTTTAACCCTCTGGAGTTTAACCCTGTTGGGTTTATCCCTGTTGGGTTTAACCCAGTTGAGTCTAACCCTGTTGTGTTTAACCCTGTTGGGTTTAACCCTATTGAGTTTAACCCTGTTGGGTTTATCCCTTTTTCTGTCCATCCCTGGCTCTCCCGGGTTTAACCCTGCTGAGTTTAACCCTGCTGAGTTTAACCCTGCTGAGTTTAACCCTGTTGAGCTTAACCCTGTTGGGTTTAACCCAGTTGAGTTTTACCCTGCTGAGTTTAACCCTATTAGATTTATCCCTTTTTTTGTCCATCCCTGGCTCTCCTGGGTTTAACCCTGTTCAGTTTAACCCTGCTGGGTTTAATCTTTTTTTTTGTCCATCCCTGGCTCTCCTGGGTTTAACCCTCTGGAGTTTAACCCTGTTGGATTTAACCCTGTTGAGTTTAACCCTGTTGGGTTTATCCCAGTTGAGTTTATCCCTGTTGAGTTTATCCCTGTTCGGTTTATCCCTTTTTTTGTCCATCCCTGGCTCTCCTGGGTTTAACCCAGTTGAGTTTAACCCTGTTGAGTTTAACCCCATTGGGTTTATCCCTTTTTTTGTCCATCCCTGGCTCTCCTGGGTTTAACCCAGTTGAGTTTAACCCTGTTGAGTTTAACCCCGGTGAGTTTAACCCTCTGAAGTTTAACCCTGTTGGGTTTAACCCAGTTAAGTTTAACCCTGCTGAGTTTAACCCTGTTGGGTTTAACCCTATTAGATTTATCCCTTTTTCTGTTCATCCCTGGCTCTCCCGGCTTTAACCCAGTTGAGTTTAACCCTGCTGAGCTTAACCCTGTTGGGTTTATCCCTTTTTCTGTCCATCCCTGGCTCTCCCGAGTTTAACCCTGCTGAGTTTAACCCTGTTGGGTTTAACCCTATTAGATTTATCCCTTTTTTTGTCCATCCCTGGCTCTCCCGGGCTTAACCCTGCTGAGTTTAACCCTGCTGAGTTTAACCCTGTTGGGTTTATCCCTTTTTCTGTCCATCCCTGGCTCTCCCGGGTTTAACCCTTTCGGGATTTTGCCTTTTTGGGTTCACCCCCCAGTTCCTCCCCGTTTGGGCCCCACCTCGATGTGCTGGAACATGTAGGGGTGGTTGCAGATCTTGCGCAGCTGCTCCATCCCTGGCTCTCCCGGGTTTAACCCTGCTGAGTTTAACCCTGCTGAGTTTAACCCTGCTGAGTTTAACCCTGTTGAGCTTAACCCTGTTGGGTTTAACCCAGTTGAGTTTTACCCTGCTGAAATGATGGTGTTCATCAAGGTCTTCGTGCCGCCCTTCCCCTGCCAGGAGTTAAAATCCAAATTAATTCTGGGTTTAAAAAACCAAAATTAATGCTAGGCTTAAAAAATCCAAATTATTGCTGGGACTAAAAAAATCCAAATTAATGATGGTGTTCATCAAGGTCTTCGTGCCGCCCTTCCCCTGCCAGGAGTTAAAATCCAAATTAATTCTGGGCTTAAAAAACCCAAATTAATGTATTTTAATACATTTCTTTATCTTAAAATAAATAATTCTTTAAAAATAAATTTTCGTTTAATTAAATAAATTTCCACCTCGGGAAGAGATCAAAGAATTTTTTCCCAATTATTTTTTGGTTTTCTTCTCCTCATTCCGGCTTCGAGGAGGATCCCCCAAACATGGTGGACCCCAACCCACCCTGGAGTGGGGACAACCCCGTCCCGGCATTCCCAAATTCCCGGTCCAGACCTTCTTGTCCTTCTCGGAGCCGTCGGTGAGGAGGACGCCCTTGGCCTGCATGTGCCGGTAGAGGACGCGCTGCAGCGCCGACATGTCGCACTTGATGACGTACTCCACCTGCCAACGGGGACCTCGCCGTGAGCGTCACGCCCGGCGGCTGCCGGGGGGTCCAACCCAAACATCTGCTCAAGGCAACCCAACCCAACCCAACCCAACCCAACTCTGCTCAACCCAACCATTGGTTCAACCCAACCCAAGCACCTGCTCAACCCAACCCAACCATCTCCCCAACCCAACCCAACCATTGGTTCAACACAACCCAACCACTGGTTCAACCCAACCCAAACAACTGCTCCATGTCGTTATCCCAGGATGGGTTAAGACCAGGAGGGACCCCCCCAGTGGTCTCCAGGGGTGGGGAAGGTTGAGGGGACCCTCCAGTGTCACCTTTTCTGGGAGCTGAGCCTCCACCTCCTTCTTGAGGCGCCGGAGCAGGAAGGGCCGGAGCACCTTGTGGAGACGGCGGATGATGAGGATTGTCTCCTCCTCGTTCAGGTCCACCTGGGATCGTCACCAGGAGCGGGAATTGTCATCAGAAACGGAAGTGGATGGACCCTCCAAACGTCCCAAAACACTTGACTGATCCACCTCCCACAGCTCCAGAAAAACCACTGATCTACCTCCCAAAGCTCCAGAACGAGCCCCAACTTCTCCAGAGCTCCAGGGACACTTCCAACCCCTCTGGAGTCAGGAACAGTAACACTAAGCCACATCCCAGAGCTCCAGAGCCACTTCCAAGTTCTCCAGGTCCATTCCAGACACTGGTCCACCACCCAGAGCTCCAGGGACAACTCCAAGTTCTCCAGGTCCATTCCAGACACTGGTCCACAGCCTCAGAGACACTCCCAGCTTCTCCAGATCAATTCCACACTCTGATCCACACCCCAGAGCTCCAGAACCACTCCCAACTTCTCCAGATCCATTCCAGACATGATCCACCTCCCAGAGCTCCAGGGACACTTCCAAGTTCTCCAGATCTGTTCCAGACACTCATCCATAGGTCCAGAGCCACTTCCAACTTCTCCAGATCCATTCCAGACGCTCATCCATAGGTCCAGAGCCACTTCCAACTTCTCCAGATCCATTCCATGCTCTGATCCACCTCCTAGAGCTCCAGAACCACTTCCAACTTCTCCAGGTCCATTTCAGACATGATCCACCTCCCACAGCTCCAGAGTCACTTCCAACTTCTCCAGATCCATTCCAGACACTGATCCATAGTTCCAGAACCACTCCCAACCCCTCCAGATCCATTCCAGACACTCATCCATAGTTCCAGATCCACTCCCAACTTCTCCAGATCCATTCCAGACACTGATCCACCTCCTAGAGCTCCAGAACCACTCCCAACCCCTCCAGATCCATTCCAGACACTCATCCATAGTTCCAGAGCCACTTCCAACTTCTCCAGATCCATTCCAGACACTGATCCACCTCCTAGAGCTCCAGAACCACTTCCAACTTCTCCAGGTCCATTTCAGACATGATCCACCTCCCACAGCTCCAGAGTCACTTCCAACTTCTCCAGATCCATTCCAGACACTCATCCACAGATCCAGGACCACTCCCAACCCCCTTCAGGTCAATTCCAGACACTCATCCATAGTTCCAGAGCCACTTCCAACTTCTCCAGATCCATTCCAGACACTGATCCACCTCCCACAGCTCCAGAACCACTCCCAACTTCTCCAGGTCCATTCCAGACATGATCCACTTCCCACGCTAGAGGGACACTTCCAAGTTCTCCAGATCTGTTCCAGACGCTCATCCACAGATCCAGGACCACTCCCAACCCCTTCAGGTCCATTCCAGACACGCATCCATAGTTCCACAGCCACTTCCAACTTCTCCAGGTCCATTCCAGACACTCATCCACCTCCTAGAGCTCCAGAACCACTCCCAACCCCTCCAGCTCCATCCCCCCCAACCTCCACCTTCTCCCCGGTCATGGCGAAGGGCGCGTTGAACCACTGCTCGAAGGTGCTGCAGCTCTTGAAGATGGTGGGCAGCAGGAAGTTGAGGAGGGCCCAGAGCTCGGGGAGCTTGTTCTGGAGGGGGGTCCCGGTGAGGAGCAGCCGCCGCGGGGCCACGTAGTGGGTGTTGAGGACCTGGGTCAGCTTGCAGTGGTGGTTCTTCATGCGGTGGCCCTCGTCCACGATCATGTACTTCCAGCGGATCTGGGGGAGAGATGGAGAAGAACATCTCAGGTGTGCACCAAAGAACTGGCTTTGAACTGGTTTGAGCAGAATTTCAGCAGAATTTTTCTCAGAATTTCAGCAGGATGTTCTCAGGACCTTCTGGAATTCATTGAGGTTGCTACGACAAACTGGATAAAATAAGAAAAAAACACTCAAAAAATAAGAAAAAACCTCAAAATTATAAGGAAGAAAAAGGTGAGAAACCAAGTTCCACCATCATGAACTTCCAGCGGATCTGGGGGAGAGATGGAGAAGAACATCTCAGGTGAGCACCAACCATGACTCGTTTTTAACTGGTTTTTAACTGGTTTTAGCGGAATTTTCTCAGAATTTCAGCAGGATGTTCTCAGGACCTTCTGGAATTCATTGAGGTTACGAAGACAAACTGGATAAAATAAGAAGAATCCTCGAAAATAAGGAAAAAAGTCATAAAATAAGAAAAAACCTCATAAAATAAGGAAGAAGAAGCTGAGAAACCAAATTCCACCACCATGAACTTCCAGCGGATCTGGGGGAGAAATGGAGAAGAACATCTCAGGTGTGCACCAAAGAACTGGCTTTGAACTGGTTTTTAACTGGTTTGAGCAGAATTTCAGCAGAATTTTCTCAAGACCTTCTGGAATTCATTGAGGTTGCTACGACAAACTGGATAAAATAAGAAAAAAACCTCAAAAATAAGGAAAAAAATGTAAAAAATATGAAAGAAGATAATAAGGAAAGTCATAAAATAAGAAAGAAGGTGAGAAACCAAGTTCCACCATCATGGACTTCCAGCGGATCTGGGGGAGAAATGGAGAAGAACATCTCAGGTGAGCACCAGCCAGTCTGGGGGAGAGATGGAGAAGAACATCTCAGGTGTGCACCAAAGAACTGGCTTTGAACTGGTTTTGAACTGGTTTGAGCAGAATTTCAGCAGAATTTCAGAAGAATTTTCTCAGGACCTTCTGGAATTCATTGAGGTTACTAAGACCAACTGGATAAAACAAGCAAGAAACTCATAAAATAAGAAAGAAAACTCAAAAAATAAGAAAGAAAATTATAAAATAAGCAAGAAGAAGCTGAGAAACCAAATTTAGACATCAATTATTCTTCTACATCAAAACTTCCTTCCACCTCTACTCCATTTTTAGCTTCTACACTCAAAGACCTTTCGGCCAAGCGTAAATATCTGGATTTTTCCAAAAATTTCCTCTTTCCCGACACCCTGAGCGTGGAAAAATTGGGAAAACCTGTGGATGGAGGGCTCACCTTGGCCAGGATGTGCTTGTCCTTGATGATGTACTCGTAGGTGGTGAGGAGAACGTTGAATTTTCCGCTCCGCAGCTGCGGGACGAAAGCGCGGCGCGCCGCCGGAGAGCCCTGCGGGGAGAATTCCGAGCAGGAATGTCAGGAATTCCCAAAAAATGGGGTGGGATGGGGTCAAAAATTGGGAAAACCTGTGGATGGAGGGCTCACCTTGGCCAGGATGTGCTTGTCCTTGATGATGTACTCGTAGGTGGTGAGGAGAACGTTGAATTTTCCGCTCCGCAGCTGCGGGACGAAAGCGCGGCGCGCCGCCGGAGAGCCCTGCGGGGAGAATTCCGAGCAGGAATGTCAGGAATTCCCAAAAAATGGGGTGGGAGGGGGTGAGGTGAGAAGGGTTTGGGGGGTTCCTGCTGCTGAGGAACCAGCAAAAATGGGATTTTCATGGATTTTTGGGGATTTTCGTTGATTTTTGGGGATTTTCGTTGATTTCCGTGGATTTTTGTGGATTTTTGAGGATTTGGAGCTCCAACCCATTTGGATTTGGAGCTGGATTTGGAATTCCCAAAAAAAGGGGTGGGACCGGGTGAGGTGAGGAGGGTTTGGGGGGTTCCTGGTGCTGAGGAACCAGCAAAAATGGGAAATGGAACCCAAGGAATGAAATCCAAGGAATGAATCCAAGGAAATGGAATTCAAGGAAATGGAACCCCAGGAAATGGAACCCAAGGAAATGGAATCCAAGGAAATGGAACCCAAGTAATGAACCCAAGGAAATGGATCCAAAGAATTGAGATGCAAGGAAACGGAACCCAATGGATGAATCCAAGGAAATGGGATCCAAGGAAATGGAATCCATGGAAATGGAATCCATGGAAATGGAACCCAAGGAAATGGAATCCAAGGAAATGGAATCCATGGAAATGGGATCCAAGGAATGAACCCAAGGAATGAAATCCAAGGAATGAACCCAAGGAATGAAATCCCAGGTGAGGAGGGTTTGGGGGGTTCCTGGTGCTGAGGAACCAGCAAAAATGGGAAATGGAACCCAAGGAATGAAATCCAAGGAATGAATCCAAGGAAATGGAATTCAAGGAAATGGAACCCCAGGAAATGGAACCCAAGGAAATGGAATCCAAGGAAATGGAACCCAAGGAATGAACCCAAGGAAATGGATCCAAAGAATTGAGATGCAAGGAAACGGAACCCAATGGATGAATCCAAGGAAATGGGATCCAAGGAAATGGAATCCAAGGAAATGGAATCCATGGAAATGGGATCCAAGGAATGAACCCAAGGAATGAAATCCAAGGAATGAACCCAAGGAAATGGAATCCAAGGAAATGGAACCCAAGGAAATGGAACCCAAGGAATGAAATCCAAGGAAACAGAATCCAAGGAAATGGGATCTAAAGAAATGAGATCCAAGGAAATGGGATCCAAGGAATTTGACACTTACCTTGTAGGAGACCTTGACCACGGAAGGAGCCCACTTGTCGAACTCGTAGGCCCAGTTGGACAAAGTCCTGCGAGGAAAGACGGACGGAGAGAGGGGTGGGAATTTTGGGAACGCGGGGCCGGAGAGAGGCGTGGGGCTGTCCCAGCACTCACGAGAGCGGGACGATGATGAGGAAGGGGCCGTTGATCCTCTTGTGCTCCATGAGGTACGTGATGAGGGCGATGGTCTGGATGGTCTTCCCCAGTCCCATCTCGTCGGCCAGGATCCCGTTGAGGTTGTTGTTGTAGAGGGACACCAACCACTCCAGGCCTTTGATCTGTGGGGGTGCAGATGAGGGTGGGAAAATGACCCCGCTGTCTGGGTGTATGCAAATGAGGCGCTAATGAGGTTGGTAATTATTCAGTCTGGAATTGAGAGATTTCATGGAGTCACGTGGATCTCCACGGGTTGGGGTCTGAGCAGGGAGTGAATTCAGCTCATAACCCCACTCTGGCTTCGGCTCCGTTTATTTATTATTAATTTATTTACAATAAATTAATATTAATAATTTATTTGTTTATATTGCTCATTATCCCACACCAGGTCGATATTCCACCCACTCCAGCTCTTCATCCAGCTCCTCAATTCCATTATCTCATCTCAGATCTCCATCCATCTCCAGATCCCACCTCGGATCTCCATCCACCTCCAGATCCCACCTCAGATCTCCATCCAGCTCCAGATCCCACCTCAGATCTCCATCCAGCTCCAGATCCCACCTCAGATCTCCATCCAGCTCCTCAATTCCATTATCTCATCTCAGATCTCCATCCACCTCCAGATCCCACCTCAGATCTCCATCCAGCTCCAGATCCCATTATCCCACCTCGGATCTCCATCCAGCTCCTCAATCCACCTCAGATCTCCATCCAGCTCCTCAATCCCATTATCCCACCTCAGATCTCCATCCAGCTCCTCAATCCCATTATCCCACCTCGGATCTCCATCCAGCTCCTCAATCCCATTATCCCACCTCGGATCTCCATCCAGCTCCAGCTCCCACCCTCCCGTGCCCGTTTCCCCCCAGACCCCACACCTGGTACTGCTTGAGGACGCCGTTGACCATCAGGGCCGACTGCTTGTCCACGCGCTCGGTGACGGCGTGCGCCACGGCGTAGTAGGACTGCAGCCCCCGAGCCAGCGCCTGGGACACGCCGTACTCGTCGTCCACGTCCTGCTTGGCGTTCCTGCCCGGAAAACCGGGAAAACGGGTCAGGGACAACCCGGGAACGGGGGAAAATGGGATAAAATGGGGGAAAACGGGTCATGGACAACCCGGGAACGGGGAAAAATGGGATAAAAACCGGGAAAACAGGTCATGGACAACCCGGGAATGGGGGAAAAGGGGATAAAAACCGGGAAAACGGGTCAGGGACAACCCGGGAACGGGGGAAAAGGGGATAAAATGGGAGGAAAACTGGGATAAAGGGTCATGGAACACCGAGGAACGGGGGAAAAATGGGATAAAAACCGGGATAACGGGTCAGGGACAACCCGGGAACGGGGGAAAAGGGGATAAAAACCGGGAAAACGGGTCAGGGACAACCCGGAAACGGGGGAAAAGGAGGAAGAGGAAGAGGAAGAGGAAGAGGAAGAGGAAGAGGAAGAGGAAGAGGAAGAGGAAGAGGAAGAGGAAGAGGAAGAGGAAGAGGAGGAAGGCTCACTCGATGATGTGTCGGGCGTCCACCTCCGAGACGTCGTCGCTGTCCGGGTCTGGAATTTTCTTCTTCTCCTCCACGGGCAGCGCTGGCTGGGCCGGCTGGGGCTGCTCCTCCTCCTCCTCCTGGGCAGAAAAAATTCAATTTCAGTTCAAAAAGCAAATAAAAAGCTGATAAAATTAATTGGGAATGCTGAGGTTGTGGGGTGGAGTTAATTAATTAATTACTGGTGTGATACCAGTAAAATATCATTTTATTTTACTTTTCTGCCCAATTTTATTCCAAGTTATTTTACTTTTCTATCTCATTTTATTCCATTTTATTTTACTTTTCTGCCCCATTTTATTTTACAATTGTATCCCATTTTATTCCACCTTTTCCCCCTGTTTTGCCCCATTTTATCCCATTTTATTTTCCAATTTTATCCCGTTTTATTTTCCAATTTTATCCCGTTTTATTTCAGAATTCTCTCCCATTTTATCCCATTTTATTTCAGAATTCTCTCCCACTTTATCCCATTTTATTTTCCAATTTTATCCCGTTTTATTTTCCAATTTTATCCCGTTTTATTTCAGAATTCTCTCCCATTTTATCCCATTTTATTTCAGAATTCTCTCCCACTTTATCCCATTTTATTTTCCAATTTTATCCCGTTTTATTTTCCAATTTTATCCCGTTTTATTTCAGAATTCTCTCCCATTTTATCCCATTTTATTTCAGAATTCTCTCCCACTTTATCCCATTTTATTTTCCAATTTTATCCCGTTTTATTTTCCAATTTTATCCCGTTTTATTTCAGAATTCTCTCCCATTTTATCCCATTTTATTTCAGAATTCTCTCCCACTTTATCCCATTTTATTTTCCAATTTTATCCCATTTTATTTTCCAATTTTATCCCATTTTATTTTCCAATTTTACCCCATTTTATTTTCCAATTTTACCCCATTATATTTTCCAATTTTACCCCATTTTATTTTCCAATTTTATCCCATTTTATTTTCCAATTCTCTCCCATCTTATCCCATTTTATTTTCCAATTTTACCCCATTTTATTTTCCAATTTTACCCCATTTTATTTTCTAATTCTCTCCCATTTTATCCCATTTTATTTTGCAATTTTTCCCCATTTTATTTTCCAATTTTACCCCATTTTATTTTCCAATTCTCTCCCATTTTATCCCATTTTATTTTCCAATTTTTCCCCGTTTTATTTCCCAATTCTCTCCAATTTTTCCCCGTTTTATTTCCCAATTCTCTCCCACCTTATCCCATTTTTCCTGACTCCCCAACCCCCTTGCCGAGCTCTTTCTGCCCTTTCCAGAACATTCCCGGAGCCTTCCTCACCTCCTCCTCCTCCTCGGAGCCGCTCTCCTCGCTGTCGGAGCGCGGAGCCACCTCGTACCTGGGGGGGAAATGGCAATTCCACGTGGGACTGGGACTGGAATTCCCAGTGCTCCCAATATCCCCAGTGCTCCCAGTATCCCCAGTGCTCCCAGTGCTCCCAGTATCCCCAGTGCTCCCAGTATTCCCAGTGCTCCCAGGGCTCATTCCCAGTGCTCCCAGTATCCCCAGCGTACCCCGGGTTCATCTCCAGCCAGGCCTCCCAGTGCTCCCAGTATCCCCAGTGCTCCCAGTATCCCCAGTATACCCCGGGTTCATCTCCAGCCAGGCCTCCAGCTGCCCGGCCTTGGGCGCGTCGGTGCCCGTCAGGATCTTCCCGCTCTCCACGTGGATCACCTTCACCGGGAGATCGCTCATCTGGCTGGTCTCGTCCAGGGGCTGGGAGAGACATTGGGAATTCCCAAAAATCCCACAAAAACCACCCAAAAACCCCTCAAAAAAAACCCCAAAAAATCCCACAAAAATCCCCCAAAAAATCCCCCAAAAAACCCCAAAAAATTCCCCCAAAATCCCCCCCGGATTGGGAACGCTCCACGTGGATCACCTTCACCGGGAGATCGCTCATCTGGCTGCTCTCGTCCAGGGGCTGCCAGAGGCATGGGGAATTCCCAAAAATCCCCAAAAAATATCCCAAAATCCAACAAAAAACCCCCAAAAAATCCCACAAAAATCCCCCAAAAAATCCCCCAAAAAACCCCAAAAAATTCCCCCAAAATCCTCCCCGGATTGGGAACTCTCCACGTGGATCACCTTCACCGGGAGATCGCACATCTGGCTGCTCTCGTCCAGGGGCTGCCAGAGGCATGGGGAATTCCCAAAAATCCCAAAAAAAACCACCCAAAAATCCCACAAAAAACCCCAAAAAATCCCCCCTGGATTTGGACTGGGAATTCTCCAAACTTCCCCAAAATCCCCCCGGACTGACCTCGCCGTCGGGGCCGATGGCCGGAGCCTGTCCCTCGGCGCTCTCGGCCTTCTGCGGGAGCAACGGGACACAGCAGGAGGAGGAAGGAGAGGAAGAGGAGGAGGAGGAAGAGGAGGAGGAGGAGGAGGAAGAGGAAGGAGAAAAAGGAGAGGATGGAGAGGAAGGGAAAGAAAAGAAGGGGGAAAAAAAGGATGGAAAGGAGAAAAAAAATGGAAGGAGATGAAGAGTGGGAAGGGAGAAAGGAAGGAAAGGAGAAGGAAGAGGAAGGAGAGGACGAGGAGGAGGGAGAGGAAGAAAAAAAGGGGAAAAAAGCAAGTGAAGGAAAAAAAGGGGAAAAAAGCAAGGGAAGGAGAAGAAAAAATGGAAAGATGAAGAGTGGGAAGGAAGGAAAGGAGAGGAGGAGGAAGAGGAAGGAGGAGGGAGAGGAGGAGGAAGAGGAAGGAGGGAGAGGAGGAGGAAGGGGAAAAGGACGAAAAAGGAAAAAAGGAAGAGGAAGAAAAGAAGAAAAAAAGGATGGAAAGGAGATGAAAAATGGAAAGAGATGAAGAGTGGGAAGGGAGAAAAGGAGAGGAGGAGGAAGAGGAAGGAGACGAGGAAGAGGAAGAAAAAAAGGGAAAAAAGCAAGGGAAGGAGAAGAAAAAAGGGAAGGAAATGAAGAGTGGGAAGGAAGGAAAGAGAGGAGAAAAGGAAGAAGAAAAGGAAGAGGAAGTGTAGGAAGGAGAGGAAACGAAAGAAAAAGAAAAAAAGGATGGGAAGGAGAAGAAAGAGGGAAGGAGAGGAGGAGGAGGAGGAAGAAAAAGAAAAAAGAAGAGGAAGGAGAAGAAAAAGGGAAGGAGAAGAAAAAGGGAAGGAGAAGAAAGGAAGGAAATGAAGAGTGGGAAGGAAGGAAAGAGAGGAGAAAAGGAAGAAGAAAAGGAAGAGGAAGTGTAGGAAGGAGAGGAAACGAAAGAAAAAGAAAAAAAGGATGGGAAGGAGAAGAAAGAGGGAAGGAGAGGAGGAGGAGGAGGAAGGGAAGGAGAAGAAAAAGGGAAGGAGAAGAAAAAGGGAAGGAGAAGAAAAAGGGAAGGAGAAGAAAAAGGGAAGGAGACAAAGGGCAGGAAGGAAGAAAAGGAAGGAGAAGAGACAAAGACAGCAAAGAGAAGAAAGGGAATAAAAACACAAACAAAGAGGAGGAAGAGGAAGGAGACGAAGTCAGCCTGGTCAGCCCAGCCCTGGCAGTGCCTCCAATCACCCCCGGGCGCTTGGCCTTCATCCCACCTTCTTCTTCTTCTTCTTCTTCTTCTCCTTGGCCACCTGGGCCGCCTTGTGCTGCCGCACCAGCTCGGTCAGGTTGGCCACGTACTCGTCGGTCTGCTGCAGCAGGTAGGCCAGGCGCTTGTCCTTCTTCTGGTCGATGAGCTTGCGGTAGCCCTCCTCATCCTCGGCCTGGAAAAGGGGTCAGGGAGCCTTCATCAGCCTCCATCCCTCCTCATCCTCAGCCTCAGCCCCATCCCTCCTCATCCTCAGCCTCAGCCTCAGCCTCAGCCTGAGGAACAGCTCCATGAGTTATGGGAACCCTCCTCGTCCTCGGCCTGGAAAAGGGGTCAGGGAGCCTTCATCAGCCTCCATCCCTCCTCATCCTCGGCCTGGAAAAGGGGTCAGGGTCAGGGAGCCTTCATCGGCATCATCATCAGCCTCATTGCTCCTCATCCTCAGCCTGAGAAACAGCTCAGGGCAATGGGAGTTATGGGAACCCTTCTCATCCTCGGCCTGGAAAAGGGGTCAGGGAGTTAGGGGAGCCTTCCTCAGCATCATCATCAGCCTCATTGCTCCTCATCCTCAGCCTCAGCCTCAGCCTCAGCCTGAGGAACAGCTCCATGAGTTATGGGAACCCTCCTCGTCCTCGGCCTGGAAAAGGGGTCAGGGAGCCTTCATCAGCCTCCATCCCTCCTCATCCTCAGCCTCCATCCCTCCTCATCCTCGGCCTGCACTCCTTCAATAAATCTAATGAAAGACCCAACACCCTCATCCACTAAAAACCTTGACCAGAACTGACCCCTGAGGGACACCACGGCTCAGTGGCCACCAGCTGGACCACTGACCACCCTCTGGACCTGGCCACCCACCCCAATTCCATCCCTTGTCCCAGGATCCCAGCCCAGCTCACCATGAGCTGGAACATCCATGTCCATCAATGAAAACCTTGACCAGAACTGACCCCTGAGGGACACCACGGCTCAGTGGCCACCAGCTGGACCACTGACCACCCTCTGGACCTGGCCACCCACCCCAATCCCATCCCTTGTCCCAGGATCCCAGCCCAGCTCACCATGAGTCATCTCATCCATGTCCATCAATGAAAACATTGACCAGAACTGACCCCACCACAGATCCCTGATGGACACCACGGCTCAGTGGCCACCAGCTGGACCACTGACCACCCTCTGGACCTGGCCACCATGTCCCAGGATCCCAGCTCACCATGAGGCGCCGCATCCGCTCCTTCTCGATGCGCTCGTTCTCCTTCTTCTGCTCGCGCTCGGTGTTGGCGTGGTAGGTGGCCACGGCCTTGGTGAGCTTCTGGATCTTTCCGCTGACGCTCCGGTGGTACTCCTTGAAGTCCTTGGCGTGCTGCAGGATGCTGTTGAGGTATTCCTGCGGGAAGGGGGACACGGAGGTCACGCGGTGGGGGTGGCACGAGGAGGTGGGACGGGGGAGTTGGAGGGGTTGGATGGAGGGGGTTGGAAGAAAGAGGTGGGAATTGGAGGGTCCTAGTGGTCAGTAGAGGGTCCTAATGGTCACTAGAGGGTCCTAGTGGTCAGCAGAGAATCCCAGTGGTCAATAGAGGGTTCCAATGGTCAGCAGAGGGTCGTAATGACCACCACCACCACCCAACCTTTGACCACCACCACCACCACTCAACCTTTGACCACCACCCAACCTCTGACCACCACCACCACCCAACCTCCCCCAGCCCCCAAACCATTCCCTGGAATTCCCGGCCCCAATTCCCAGGGAAGGCCCCACCTGGTGCTTCTGGCGCCGCTTCCTCTCCTGCTCGATCTTCTGCTGCTTCTCCAGCTTCTCGGTGATGCGGGCCTCGCGCAGCGACTGCCGCTTGCTGCGCTTGTAGGCCTTGGCGTTGAGCGCCGTCTCCAGCGCCGTGTCGCGCCGCATGCACACCACCACCTCCTGCCGCAGCTGCAACCCCAAAAAACCACCCCGGGGTTGGTTTGGTGGCGACGCCGGCGGCACCGCCGGGGGCACCGGGGACGGGCGACCTGCGGGGGGAGGCGGCAGCAGCTTCTGGGGGGCACCGCCCGGAGCCGCCGCCGACAGCGGCCCTGTGGGGACAGGGGAAGGTTCCACGGGGGGTTGGGGTGAAATTGAAGAAGAAAATGGAATTATTGGGTCTGGGATTGCACAAAAATTGGGGTGTCAGGAACTCAAAATTATAAAAAATATAGGAATTGGGGTATTTGACTCGGAATGAGCTTGCGGAGTAAGTGCAGAATTTAAGGGGAAATTCGTCACAATTTCCCCCAAAATTCATATTAGTTACTTGGAAATCAACCCTAAATTCTACCAAAAAAATCTATTTATTTGGTCAGGAATTAAGGTTAATTGCACAAAAATTTGAGTATTTGACTCAGAATGAGGTTGTGGAGTAAGTGCAGAATTTAAGGGGAAATTCATCATAATTTGTTCCAAAAGTCCTATTAAATCGACCCCAAATCCCCCAAAAAATCCAATTATTTGGTCAGGAATTACACAAAAATTTGAGTAGCAGGAATTAGAAAAAAATCAGTATTTGACTTGGAATGAGGTTGTGGAGTAAGTGCAGAATTTAAGGGGAAATTCTTCACAATTTCTCCCAAAACTCCTATTAAATCAACCTCAAATTCCCCCAAAAATTGAATTATTTGGTCAGGAATTACACAAAAATTTGAGTAGCAGGAATTAGAAAAAAATCAGTATTTGACTTGGAATGAGGTTGTGGAGTAAGTGCAGAATTTAAGGGGAAATTCTTCACAATTTCCCCCAAAACTCCTGTTAAATCGACACCAAATCCTCCCCAAAAATCCATTTATTTGGTCAGGAATGAAGGTGAATTATACAAAAAATTTGAGTATCTGATTTGGAATGAGGTTGCGGAGTAAGTGCAGAATTTAAGGGGGAATTCTTCACAATTTCACCCAAAACTCCTATTAAATCAACCTCAAATTCCCCCAAAAATTGAATTATTGGGTCAGGGATTGCACAAAAATTGGGGTGTCAGGAACTCAAAATTATAAAAAATATAGGAATTGGGGTATTTGACTCGGAATGAGCTTGCGGAGTAAGTGCAGAATTTAAGGGGAAATTCGTCACAATTTCCCCCAAAATTCATATTAGTTACTTGGAAATCAACCCTAAATTCTACCAAAAAAATCTATTTATTTGGTCAGGAATTAAGGTTAATTGCACAAAAATTTGAGTATTTGACTCAGAATGAGGTTGTGGAGTAAGTGCAGAATTTAAGGGGAAATTCTTCACAATTTCTCCCAAAACTCCTATTAAATCAACCTCAAATTCCCCCAAAAATTGAATTATTTGGTCAGGAATTACACAAAAATTTGAGTAGCAGGAATTAGAAAAAAATCAGTATTTGACTTGGAATGAGGTTGTGGAGTAAGTGCAGAATTTAAGGGGAAATTCATCATTATTTGTTCCAAAAGTCCTATTAAATCAACCCCAAACCCCCAAAAAATCCATTTATTTGGTCAGGAATTAAGGTGAATCATACAAAAAATTGAGTATTTGACTCAGAATGAGGTTGTGGAGTAAGTGCAGAATTTAAGGGGAAATTCATCATAATTTGTTCCAAAAGTCCTATTAAATCGACCCCAAATCCCCCAAAAAATCCAATTATTTGGTCAGGAATTAAGGTGAATCATACAAAAAATTGAGTATTTGACTCAGAATGAGGTTGTGGAGTAAGTGCAGAATTTAAGGGGAAATTCTTCACAATTTCTCCCAAAACTCCTATTAAATCGACCCCAAATCCCCCAAAAAATCCAATTATTTGGTCAGGAATTAAGGTGAATCATACAAAAAATTTGAGTATTTGTCTCAGAATGAGGTTGTGGAATAAGTGCAGAATTTAAGGGAAATTCGTCACAATTTCACCCAAAACTCCTATTAAATCAACCTCAAATTCCCCCAAAAATTGAATTATTTGGTCAGGAATTAAGGTGAATCATACAAAAAATTTGAGTATTTGTCTCAGAATGAGGTTGTGGAATAAGTGCAGAATTTAAGGGGAAATTCATCATTATTTGTTCCAAAAGTCCTATTAAATCAACCCCAAACCCCCAAAAAATCCATTTATTTGGTCAGGAATTAAGGTGAATCATACAAAAAATTTGAGTATTTGACTCAGAATGAGGTTGTGGAATAAGTGCAGAATTTAAGGGGAAATTCGTCACAATTTCCCCCAAAATTCCTGTTAAAACTACCTGGAAATCGACCCTAAATTCTACAAAAAAAACTTAATTATTTGTCAGGAATTGCACAAAAATTTGGGTTTCTGACTCGGAATGAGCTTGTGGAGTAAGTGCAGAATTTAAGGGGGAATTCAGCACATTTTTTTATTTCGTCAGGAATTGCACAAAAATTTGGGTTTCTGACTCGGAATGAGCTTGTGGAGTAAGTGCAGAATTTCAGGGGAAATTCACCACATTTTCCCCCAAAACTCCTATTAAGATTATTTTATTTTATTACCTCATATTAATTATATTATAATCTATTATTACACCTGGAAATCGATCCTAAACCCCCCAAAAAATCTCATTATTTACTTGGAAATCAACCCCAAATTCCCCAAAAATCCGGAAAATCAAGCACAATTTTTTTTAAAAAGATTCCAAATTCCCTAAAAAACTCCAAATTTGGGGTGAATTCCCAGGAATTTTGTCAAATGCAGCTCTCACCTTCTGGCCAGGGCTTGGGGGGGCCCCCGGGGGGCTGTCCTGGCATCCCGGGGGGAACTCCTGAGGGTCCAGGAGGGGGCATGTTGGGCCCTCCTATTCCTGGAAATTCCCAAAATTCCGGCAAAAAAGGGAAAAAAAAAAGAAGAAAATTCCATGAGGATTTTGATTCCCTGAGGAGGATCTGAAATTCCAACCTCTGGAATGCTCAGGAAAGGGATGGGAAAGCCAAACTGGGGGATACTGGGGCAAACTGGGAGAAGCCATCCTGGATTTCCCGGGATAATGTGAGGTGGAATGGGATGAGATCCCCAGAAATCCCGGGATGGAACGGGACAAACTCCCCACAAATCCCGGCATGGAACGGGACAAACTCCCCACAGATCCCGGGATGGAACGGGACAAACTCCCCACAGATCCCCCAGGATGGAACGGGACAAACCCCCCACAGACCGCAGGATGGAACGGGACAAACTCCCCACAGATCCCTCAGGATGGAACGGGACAAACTCCTCACAAATCCCGGGATGGAACGGGACAAACTCCCCACAGATCCCAGGATGGAATGGGACAAACTCCCCACAGATCCCCCAGGATGGAACGGGACAAACTCCCCACAGATCCCGGGATGGAACGGGACAAACTCCCCACAGTTCCCAGGACAGAATGGAATGATTTCCCCACAGATCCCAGGACAGAATGGGACAAATTCCCCATAAATCCCAGGACAGAATGGCATACTTTCCCCACAGTTCCCAGGACAGAACAAGGACAAGCCCCCCACAGACCCCAGGATGGAACGGGACAAACTCTCCACAGATCCCAGGACAGAATAGGATGATTTCCCCACAGATCCCAGGACAGAATGGAATGATTTCCCCACAAATTCCTCAGGATGGAATGGGACAAATTCCCCACAGATCCCAGGACAGAACGGCATACTTTCCCCACAGTTCCCAGGACAGAACAAGGACAAGCCCCCCACAGATCCCAGGACAGAACGGGACAAACTCCCCACAGATCCCCCAGGATGGAACGGGACAAACCCCCCACAGACCGCAGGATGGAACGGGACAAACTCCCCACAGATCCCCCAGGATGGAATGGGACGAACTCCCCTTGGAACCCCCAGGATGGGAGAAGAGCAGGAAACCCAAACTGGGCCAAACTGGGACCAAACTGGGACCAAATGATCCCCTGGGATAGAACAGGACAAGCTCTCCATGAATATCCCAGGATAGTCTCCTCTGGATTTCCCACCCAGGACAGAATGGAATGATTTCCCCACAAATTCCTCAGGATGGAATGGGACAAATTCCCCACAGATCCCAGGACAGAACGGCATACTTTCCCCACAGTTCCCAGGACAGAACAAGGACAAGCCCCCCACAGATCCCAGGACAGAACGGGACAAACTCCCCACAGATCCCAGGACAGAATAGGATGATTTCCCCACAGATCCCAGGACAGAAAGGAATGATTTCCCCACAGATCCCAGAATGGAATAGGACAAACTCCCCACAGATCCCAGGACAGAGCAAGGACAAGCCCCCCACAAATCCCAGGATGGAACGGGACAAACTCCCCACACTTCCCAGGACAGAACAAGGACTAGCCCCCCACAGATCCCAGGACAGAAAGGGACAAACTCCCCACAGACCCCAGCCCCGGGCCCTGCGCGGCGCCGGCGGGCGGAGGTAGAGCAGGAATCTGCGGCTGCATCCCCGGCAGCGGCCGCTTGCCCTGCACGGCCACCTGGAGATGCTCTGGAAGGGGCTGCCCTCGTGCCAGCAGCTTGTAGGCCATGATCTGGGCACGCAGCTGGTGCAGCTGGGCGGCGTTGAAGGGCGACGGGCCCCGGCCCAGCGCGGGCGAGTCGGAGCCGGAGCCGTCCAGGGCGGTGCCGGAGCCGCCGGCGGAGCTGCTGGAGGGGCCGTTGGAGGGCACCGGGCTGGAGGCGTGCTCCGAGCCACCCAGAGGGGATGGGTAACCTGGCAGGGAGCAGGGGAGAGCGGAGAGAAGTGAGGGGTGGAGGCGTTGGAGAGCAGGATTTCTGCTCTGAAATCCACACGGGGATGGGAAATCCCATTCCCAATCTGTCGCGTGGAACATCAAAAACACCAATCCATCCCTGAGGCTTTTGGAATGGGAATCCCACTCCTAATCCATCTTTGAAGCAGCTGGAATCAGAAATCCCATTCCCAATCCATCCTTGAAGCAGTTGGAATCAGAAATCCCATTCCCAATCCATTGCGTGGAACATCAAAGTAACACAAATCCATCCTTGAAACATTTGGAATGGGAAATCCCATTCCCAATCCATCCTTGAAACAGTTAAAATGGGAAATCCCATTCCCAATTTATTGCGTTTAACATCAAATCCAGCCTTGAGGCATTTGCAATGGAAATCTCATTCTCAATCCATCCCTGAGGCAGTTGGAATCAGAAATCCCATTCCCAATCCATCCCTGAAACATTTGGAATGGGAAATCCCACTTTCAACCCATCCCTGAGGCAGTTGGAAAGGGAAATCCCATTCCAAATCCATTCTTGAAACAGTTAAAATGGGAAATCCCATTCCAAATCCATCCCTGAGACAGTTCAAATGGAAATCTCACTCCCAATCCATCCCTGAGGCTTTTGGAATGGGAATCCCACTCCTAATCCATCCTTAAGGCAGTTGGAATGGGAAATTCCATCCCCAATCCATCCCTGAAACATTTGGAATGGGAAATCCCATCCCCAATCCATCCCTGAGGCATCTGGAATGGGAAATCCCATTCCCAATCCGTCCTTGAAGGAGGAGGGAGGGAAATCCCATTCCCAATCCATCCCTGAAACATTTGGAATGGGAAATCCCATTCCCAATCCATCCCTGAAACATTTGGAATGGGAAATCCCATTCCCAATCCATCCTTGAAACAGTTAAAATGGGAAATCCCATTCCCAATTCATCCCTGAGGCAGTTGGAAAGGGAAATCCCATTCCCAATTCATCCCTGAAACATTTGGAATGGGAAATCCCATTCCAAATCCACCCCTGAGGCAGTTGGAAAGGGAAATCCACTCCCAAATCTGTTAAGCAGGAATAAGGAGCAAGGAATCCTCTCCCAAAATCCATTATTTGGGACCTGGAAATCCAGGATTTGGACACAATTCCTCCCCTTCCCATGATCCCAAAATTGGGGAATGCTGAAAACCTCCCAAAATCCAAATCCAGGATTTCGACATTGCTCCCAGCCTTGGGAATGCTGAAAACCTCCCAAAATCCAAATCCAGGATTTGGACACTGCTCCCACCTTGGGAATAGTAAAATCCCCCCAAACCAAGGATTTTCCAAGGATTTGGACACCATTCCCCCCCATTTTTTCTCCCCAAGATCCCAACCTTGGCAATGCTGAAAACCTCCCAAATTTGGACACCATTCCCCCCCTTCCCGTGCTCCCAACCTTGGGAATGTTGAAAACCTCCCAAAATCCAAATCCAGGATTTGGACACCATTCCTCCCCTTCCCAAGATCCCAACCTTGAGAATACTAAAATCCTCCAAATCCAAAGATTGTCCAAGGATTTGGACACAGCTCCTCCCCTTCCCATGATCCCAACCTTGGGAATAGTAAAATCCCCCCAAACCAAGGATTTTCCCCAAATTTGGACACAGTTCCTCCCCTTCCCATGATCCCAACCTTGGGAATGCTGAAAACCTCCCAAATCTGGACACAGTTCCTCCCCTTCCTCCCCATTTCTTCTTCCCATGATCCCAAAATTGGGCATATTGAAAACCTCCCAAATTTGGACACCATCCCTCCCCTTCCCGTGCTCCCAACCTTGGGAACGCTGAAAACCTCCCAAAATCCAAATCCAGGATTTGGACACTGCTCCCAACCTTGGGAATGCTGAAAACCTCCCAAATCTGGACACCATTCCTCCCCATTTTTTCTCCCCGTGCTCCCAACCTTGGGAATAGTAAAATCCCCCCAAACCAAGGATTTTCCAGGGATTTGGACACCATTCCCCCCCATTTTTTCTCCCCAAGATCCCAACCTTGGGAATGCTGAAAACCTCCCAAAATCCAAATCCAAGATTTGGACATTGCTCCCAGCTTTGGCAATGCTGAAAACCTCCCAAAATCCAAATCCGGGATTTGGACACCGTTCCTTCCCTTCCCATGCTCCCAACCTTGGGAATGCTGAAAACCTCCCAAATTTGGACATCATTCCTCCCCTTCCTCCCCAATTTTTTCTTCCCACAATCCCAACTTTGGGAATACTAAAATCCTCCAAATCCAAGGATTTTCCAAGGATTTGGACACAGTTCCTCCCCTTCCCGTGCTCCCAACCTTGGGAATACTGAAATCCCCCCAAACCAAGGATTTTCCAGGGATTTGGACACAGTTCCTCCCCTTCCCGTGCTCCCAACCTTGGGAATGCTGGTCCATGGGGCTGGGGGGGGGCCCCATGCCCGCGTGCCCCCCCGGGCGCATCCCCATGCCCTTCATCTGCCCGTAGCGCGGATCCTCCGGCATCGCCTTCTCGTGCATCGCCTCCAGGGGCTGCAGGGGCACAGAATGCCAGGAAATCAGATTGCAGCAGGGAATTCCTCAAGGAAAATCTGAGCCCAACCCGCAGGATTCCCAGGGAGATGGAAAATCCGTTTTGTTATTGCCAGAAATGCCAAATTCCAGCTGCTCTGGGGGGAAAATATCCCAGAAAATCAGATTTAAACAGAGAATTCCCCAAGGAAATTCTGATCCCAACCCACAGAATTCCCAGGGAGATGGAAAATCCGTTTTGTTATTCCCAGAAATGCCAAATTCCAGCTGCTCTAGGGGGAAAAATCCCAGGAAATCAGATTGCAGCAGGGAATTCCTCAAGGAAAATCTGAGCCCAACCCGCAGAATTCCCAGGGAGATGGAAAATCCGTTTTGTTATTCCCAGAAACGCCAAATTCCAGCTGCAGTGGGGGGCAGAGAATCCCAGGAAATCAGATTTCAACAGGGAATTCCTCAAGGAAAATCTGATCCCAACCCACAGAATTCCCAGGGAGATGGAAAATCCGTTTTGTTATTCCCAGAAACGCCAAATTCCAGCTGCAGTGGGGGGCAGAGAATCCCAGGAAATCAGATTTCAACAGGGAATTCCTCAAGGAAAATCTGATCCCAACCCACAGAATTCCCAGGGAGATGGAAAATCCGTTTTGTTATTCCCAGAAACACCAAATTCCAGCTGCTCTGGGGGGAAAAATCCCAGGAAATCAGATTGCAGCAGGGAATTCCTCAAGGAAAATCTGAGCCCAACCCACAGAATTCCCAGGGAGATGGAAAATCAATTTTATTATTGCCAGAAATGCCAGATTGCAACTGCTCTGGGGGCAAAATATCCAAGAAAATAGGATTTAAACAGAGAATTCCTCAAGGAAATTCTGCTCCCAACCCACAGAATTCCCAGGGAGATGGAAAATCCGTTTTGTTATTCCCAGAAACGCCAAATTCCAGCTGTTCTGGGGGGCAGAGAATCCCAGGAAATCAGATTTCAACAGGGAATTCCTCAAGGAAAATCTGATCCCAACCCACAGAATTCCCAGGGAGATGGAAAATCCGTTTTGTTATTCCCAGAAACGCCAAATTCCAGCTGCAGTGGGGGGCAGAAATCCCAGGAAATCAGATTCCAGCACAGAATTCCTCAAGGAAATTCTGCTCCCAACCCACAGAATTCCCAGGGAGATGGAAAATCCATTTTGTTATTCCCAGAAATGCCAAATTCCAGATGTTCTGGGGGGAAAAATCCCAGGAAATCAGATTTCAACAGAGAATTCCTCAAGGAAAATCTGCTCCCAACCCACAGAATTCCCAGGGAGATGGAGAATCCGTTTTATTATTCCCAGAAATGCCAAATTCCAGCTGCTGTGGCCTCAAAAATCCTTCCCACAGCACAATTCCTTGGATTTTTAAATTAAAAATCCCATGGATTCTAGGGGAGGAATTGTTAAAGCCCAAATCCAGGAGGAAAAACCTCTTAATTAATGAGTTAATTAATGGGGTGGGATGAGGGATTTGCCCATTCCTGAGGTTTTTCAGTGCATTTTTGGAGGAGAATCTTTCTGGACTCCTTCTTTTCTTCTTCACCATCTTCTCTTCCTCTTCTTCATCTTCCTCTCCTTCTTCTCATTTTTAATTTCCTTCTTCCTTTTCATTTTCTTCTTCTTCTTCTCCACCTTCTTCTTCACCTTCTTCATTTTTTCTTCACCTTCTTCTCCATCTTTTTCTTCTCCTTCTTCTTCATTTTCTTTTTCTTCATCTCCATCTTCTTCTTGTCCTCCTCCATCTTTTTCTTCTCCTTCTTCATTTTTTTCTTCTTCTTCTCCATCTTCTTCTTCTCCTTCTTCACCTTCACCTTCTTCTTCTTCTCCTTCTTCCTCTCTCCTTCACCATCTTTTTTTTCTTCTTCTCTGCCTTCCTCTTCTTCATCTTCTCCTTCTTCTTCTTCTCCATCTTTTTCTTCTTCACCTTCTTTTTCTTCTCCTTCCTCTCCTTCTTCTTCTCCATCTTCTCCTTCATTTTCTTCTTCTTCTCCATCTTCTTCTTGTCCTTTTTAATTTTCTTCTTCTCCTTCTTAATTTTTTTCTTCTCCTTCTTCATTTTCTTCTTCTTCTTTTCCATCTTCTTCTCCTTCTTCATTTTCTTCTTCTCTTTCTTCTCCATTTTCTTCTCCTTCTTCATTTTCTTCTTC